CCTTCAATTGAAGCAGGACGGACTGGGCTGCACTCGTGTCTCTCTCCTTCGCTCCCAGTTGGTGCCACATTGGTGTGGCCTTGGCTTGCATTCGCCCTTTTTCGACTTGTGCTTCTGTGATGTGGCGCCCTTGGTCTAATGGATGACGTAGTCGCACACATCGAGGGGTCATGGAGGACATACAATCATCATCTTTGCCAAGTAGTTGTGTGTTGTTTAGTTTGGCCATGGGTCGCCTTGCAGCTGCATTTGCTGAACCAAGCTTCCAAGCTTGCCAGGAGCTGCTCCACAAGCCGCCGAAGGACGAGCCGTCTGCGGGTGCTGCGTCCGTGTCCCCTGCGTTGAAGCGCTTGCGGTCGGAATTGGACGACGCGGTCGTCCACGGCCGGCCGTTGCGGCGCCGCGCCGTTCTGGCCGCCTTGAGGGAAGGCGTTGGAGTAGAGGAGGAGCTCGCAGCTCGTGCCGGGCCGAAGACGACTCTGCTGGGCCATGCCTTTCTTCAGGCGCAATCTTTGCAAGAAGAGCTGGATCTATCCTTGATTTTGTCCTTACTTCGAGCCAAAGCTGATCCCAATCGTCCATTGAATGAAGAACTCCCAGCGCCGATTGCCACTTTGCTGCTGTGCTGGGAGATCAAAGAAGCTCAAACCTCCGATCGACCATTGGAAGAGTTGCTATTTGTTGGTCTCAGTGATGCAGGAGCTGAGGGAAAGAAGGTTTGCCACCACCATGTCGCATCCCTGGATTCCTCACCATGGACTTTGGCCCTTCAAAGTCCAGAAAAGCATTGGGATGAAGAAGTTCAGGCACTGGTGAAGTTTCAAGCACACATTGATTGCCGTTTTCCTTTGGGTGGTGTGGTGGCCAGCGCGCTTGGTCACCAGATCCTTGCGAAGAATGTGCACGGATGCCAAGAATTGCTGAAGCTTCGAGCCTGTCCTGACTGCTACATTGAACGTTCTGGCAAAGAAGAGAAGTTAGTAGCCGTGGCAGTTGCCATGGAGAAGCAAGACAAAGAAGCTGCTCTGGACATTCTGCGACATCTGATCGATCACAAGCCGTACATGCTGACACCGGTCCTGTTGGAAGGTGTATCAATGACTTTTGAAGCAGCTTTGAGGAACCTGGCGAAGAAGGACAGTGATTGGCTTAGCCTGGCCACCAAGGCGCAGGTGACTCTGGATGATGACAGTGAGGCAGGTGGGTCAGACTCTGATGGTGATGACCGCTCAGAAAGATCTGATGACGAAGATGGTGAAGATGATGACGAGGAAGAGGAAGAGAGTGAAAAGAAGTCAGAAGCAATGGAGGTCTTTGAAGAGATCACTGAGGGTGCCGAAGTGGTTCTTGCAGAGAAGCTTGGAGTACCTCAAGATGAGGCCAGTGACAAGAGAGCCTTCCAGGTGATTCAGCTGATCACTTCGGAAGGAGAAGAGACTCTTGCTGAACTTAAGGTGAGTGGTGGGTGCGAGCATCTTGAGAAACCCATTCCACTGTCCAAGCTGATTGCCTTGGAGCCACCCTCCGTGCATGAGAGCAGCTTTGCTGCAAACAAGGACTATGCTTTCTGGGACTTGCATCAGGGAAAGGTTCCCAAGAGCATGAAGGCAATTGGAGGCTCAATCACCGTTGGTCTGAGTCGCAATGGCCGGGATCGGGTCATCGAGGTGCCGAAGGGCACCCAGCTGGAATTCGAGCTTCCTGCCCACTTGCAAAATCCAAGCAGACCTCAATATACTGCCATCATCGAGTTTCAAATGAAGCCATTTCACGGAGTGACCGCCCTCCTGCACACCTCTGCAGAGTTGGGGGATGCAGATCTAGTGGTTGAAACCTCCGCCTCGGAGAGTGGAAGTCCTCAACCCACGTTGAAGCTCAGGTCCAGCGGAAGTCAAGAGACGGCCTTGTCTGCGTCCCTGTCATGGAACTCTTGGCACCGCGTCGTGTTGACACGCTCGGCCGAGGGATTTGCAAGCCTCATAGTGGACCGACGTGAGGTCCTACCGGCTGATGCGGCTGATCCCCAAAAAGCCAATCGTTCCTCGCGCCGCGACGGCACCGAGCCCGGCTCTCCGAGCTCTACAGAGCCACCGGCTCTGGGAACACTTCAGAGTGCCTTCCGAGTTTTTGGGTCGAAGCATGCACAGGAGTCGTCCAAAGGCGGCTTGGCCGTGAGGTTTGTGCTCTTGTGCCGTGAGGCTTTGGGTGCATCAGCAGTGCAGCTCCTTCTCAGGAAGACCAAGCAGCTGATGAAATCGATTCAACAGCAGCCACTTGTGCTGCAAGAATTGAAATTGATGAAGAAACAGGCCCATCCAATATTCTTGGACGCTTCATTCTTCGGTTGCTTTTGTGATGCCTTCATCAGTGCTGGTGCACAGCCTAAAGAAGTGGCGCAAAGCCATCGGTTGATTCTTTTCATGTTCGAGACCTTGATCAAGGAGAATCAGATGATGAAAGATCCTGATCTGGTGGGCGTCCCGCTGGATTTGCTGCAGCTGACCTATGAGCACCTGGAGCGCTCCTCCAAACTCTTTGCGAAGTTTGACCAGTTGTGGGCATCATCGGACATGGAAGAACAAGTGCCTCTGATCAAGGACCTTCTCAAGCTCTTGAACGAGCTGCGGTCGACCCTAGCAGAGAAGGGACCAGCCTTTGGACCGTTGATCATCCCCTTTGGCATCGTTCAGAGGACTCAGCAAAGCGCCAAGAAGCAATTCGTGATCCTTATCTTGGAGAAGCCGGATGCCACTTATCGGCTTACAGTTGTCAATCCTGGACAGGGAAAAGACTTCCACAAATCTTCTGTGCAGGGACACCCGAAAGTGAAGTACCAAACGTCAATGGTTTTCGAGGGCCTGTGTTCTGAAAAAGTGGAGGACGATGCTTTTTGGCTGACACTTTTCACTGCAGTTCCCACAGTAGGTCCACAGTCAGCATGGCACCTCCTGTACGATCTGTTCTTGCCCTTTGTTCTGGGCTCCAAGGGGGAGACCAGGATGCTCGAAGATGCGCTTGTTGGTTCCCAAGAGGATTGGCGAACGCCTCAACGTGGTAGCGGGTGCTGGAAGGTCTTGATGCATGCAATCCGCCAGTTGATGCGATCAAACTCGGTCTCAGTTACAAATGCAAAGCTACTGCAGTGGAGGCTGCGGCAGCATTTCCTGCAATTGGCACTGAAAGATGTCGATGCTGTTCCGCGACTGAGCCGCAGTCAGAGGACATGTCTTCGCATCGCTGCTTCGCAACTTGGGCTTACGGCTGTGAAGCTTAGTGTCCAGATGCCGGATACACATGAGCAGCTCGGTTTCCTGAAAGAATCCAAGCAGATGATCGAAAAGGCCGAAGAGGCCCTAGCGGCCAAACCAGTGTTGCATTCAGGAGAGCTTCCACTTGCTGAGCTGCAGCTTAGTGCTCTGGCCGCGAAAGCGCACGAGCAAACCACTGCTCATCCCAATTGGGACTATTTCGTGGGGCCTCGGCCCAATCCTGGGCAGTCTCTCAGCATACCTGCTCAAATCCCATTGGATTTGTTGGCTTTGAGGGAGCGCGCAGAGACTACTGAAGAAGCAATTCAGGCAATTTACACGGCTGATGAGATTTGCCGCACACTTTCCGGACTACGCCAATCCGGCCGGTGCAAGTTCGGCCATCTCTTCATCATCAATGTTTTGCAACAGCTTTTCACAGAAATCATCCCTACCCCTTTGGGACCAATGTCTTCTCACAAAGACAAGCTGTGGTCATGCAATGAAGACTTCCATTCTCCGCACGAGTACCTTACCAGACTCATGGTATCAGACTTGCAGCAAACTCTGCTCCGGCTTTGTTCGCAATTTGCAGCAGCAGCCTTTAGCATCCACACTGAAAGAACCAACAAGGCGGTTGTGGATGCAGAGGTGCAGAGAGCACATTTGACTCGAAGTTTTGATTCCACAATCCTTTGCGTCTTTGGGGCGATAGCTGCCCTGTCTGACCGCTTGGCCCGCATGACTCCGCAGGACTATCAGAGCGACTGGCCGGACAAAGCTCGAAAGAGCGAGGAGAGCTCCGGGCTGCTGCCGGTTCCGCTCAACTGTCTGACACAGACCCTGATGGGATCGGAAGATTCGCCCGGCTTTGCCATTTCAGTGGACAGCTTCGTGGTTCAGTCGGAGACGATCGAGGTGGCGATTCCAGAGCTGCACATGAGTCGTTCGGCCATCATCAACTATTTCGTAGAGGTTGCGGAATCCATGGGTTTGCAAGGAGATCGGGGGCGAATTCTGTTCGATTGGGACGATGGAGGCTGGCGAATGAATGCTAGAGACCACTACGGCACTTCAATTTTTTTGCAGAACGCTGGCCGCCTCATATTTGCACAATTCAAGCGCAGAAGGGCTCTTGACTGGGCAGGATGCGTACCTGATGGCTGAGTTTCCAGATTTCAGACCGTTCAGAGACATCGTCTTCTGGTTCAAGTTTGCATTATGCACTGACCTCAGGGTATTTCCGCGGGGGTCCTTCTCGCAAGGCGAAGCAAGTCTGCGATGGAAGTTCAATGGAGAGAGCGGCAGGTATGAAGTATCAGGTCTGGGCCAAACCTTGCTTGGTGAGGGCAGAACAGAGCCCTCTGGGGACGGTCATCGCTGGCGAAGCAGTGCAACAGCATCCAACCACACCCCAAGTCCGGTGCAGTGTGAAGACGACTTGTTGTACATGAGGAGCCGAGGGTGGTTCTTTTCTTCTCATATTATAGCTTTGTTCCGTTTGAAATGTGAGTTGAAGCTTTTGTAGAGGTCGCATATAAGAAGTTTAGGGGGACGGAATCTAGGGTATTTTTGTTGGACATCTTTTCATTTGCCAGGAGCCTCCCAAACTTTCAGAACACGCTCATGGCCAGTGATGTCGAGTTGCTTCTCAGCTACCTCACAGTACCATATCTTCGCCAACCATTGTTGCTTCGCTTTTTCTGTCGACACGACCGTGTGTTGGCTCTCCGCCATCCAGCCCTGCAAGCCATGCTGCAGGCAGCACTGTTTGAGCCAGGCCGCCTTGTTTTGAGCGGGAATGACTCTGAATGCCCCCAGCAAGTGCCAGCGACTGGCAGAGCAGAGAAGGCCTTGGTGGGGTCGCCAAGTGGCCAACTTTTGCTGGAGCTTACTCATTCACCGCAGCCATTGCTGGACGCTCTCACGGATTGCTTGAATCTGGCATTGGATGTAGCTACTTCATCAACTTCCAAGACGGTGGACATGGTTTTGTTCATTTCACGACTTTATGCTCGAGTGATGAGCGCCGTCACGTTCCTGCACCAGATCATGAAGGGGGAGCACAGGTCTCAACAAAAGAACTGGGAGTTTGCGCTCCCCAAATCCGGCACGACCAAGTACCACGATGTTGTTCAGGTCTTGCACAAGGCCATGCAGGAGCATGACCAATGCATGTTGGGGCAGCAAGGGCAAGGGCTTTTGAGTTGCCTAGAGCGCTGGTTGAAAGAGCTCTGGGAGGCCAGCCAACAGAAGCCTGACCTCATGGATGAAAACGTACAGCGGATGTGTGACATTCATGCTCACATTCTGCTGCTGCTACGTAGCTTGCCGCTAGTTGGCAGGGCGAAGGGAAGCCAAAAACGTTCTCCGTATCACCATGTGGAGAGGCTACTCGGGTCGTATTCGTTTTTGGTGGCCCATCACACCTGGAATGCTGGTTTCCTGCAGATACCTGAGCCAGAGGTGATGGAGGTTCTTCAGGTGCACAGGCGGTTCTTGTTGGAATGGCTTGATTCTTGTGATTCCAGCAGCCAGTTCAACGAGGCTCTCGACATAGTTCTCAAGCAGTATGCGCTTGAAGACCGTGGTCGCGAGGGGGGTGAAGTGCAAGGCAAAAAGGCCTGGGGCAAGATCAATGATGATATTTTGAAATCAACGGGGTGCTATGCGCTTGATGAACGTGGTGATTCTGAATGCATCAAGCACTTGCCTCGAAAGGACGTCTATTGGTTGGAAGTCAATCTCCAATTGCTCCAAGTCTCGATGAGGGGCACGTCTATACAAGCTTTGGACGAGGATCTCATCAAAAGCCCAGCTTTGCAAAAGGTCTTGTACCGTGAAAACCGGGAACTGCGAACCATGCAGGGAAGCAGAACCCTTGAGAGTTCCACTGTGGTGGTGTTCGAGCTCATGTCGCATGACTTTATGATCTTGAAATGGGCTTCAGTCTCTCCTGGTTCCCCAGAGTTCCTACCTGTTTGCGTTGGCTATGATGACTTGTACGATGCGGAGGAACTGCAAGAAGGATTGGAGTGGATCGGAGACCTATTTGAGCCCATCAGGATGCAATTCTGGCCGCCCAACCCGCAAGAACCTCCGATGAAGTTCCTCCTCAACAGCGAAGCTCCCGTGTCGGCACCGGTGGCAATTCTCGCTTGCTGCCATCCAAAGGTACCAGGAAAGATTTGGAAAGAGATGCATGTCTTCAGGGACTTGCAGATGGTTCAAGTCTTTGGCATTCGCAGCTACGGGCATCGATTCTATCGAGTGCTCGAATACTGCACCGACTGCCGCTTTAGCTTGCGGCACATGCAGCCGAGCGCTGACGAGAGAGAATCCATTTGGCCAACCCTGGAGCGGTTTGCAGCTGGCAAGCCTTCTGGATTGGGTGAGCAGCCTCCTTCAGTGACAGTTTGCCGTCGCCAGCTGAACGTTGGCGCAGCGATTGAAGAGGAGAGGCAAGTCCTTGGTTTGCCCTGGCCTCCACAGAGGCCCGAAAACGAGTCGGACGACGAGGGCATGGACTCCTCAGATTCAGAACTTGACATGAGTGACATTACCTTGCAGAAATCTCAAGTTCAATTTGTGGAGGCACCTGACGGCTCAAAGGAATGTCATGAGATGATCTTCAGCCTTGTCCAGGAAGCTGAGCCTGACACCGACAAAAGCGACCACAAGTACAATCTTGAAGTTGCCAAGCAATCTCATAAGGGACAAGACTTTAACGAGGCCGATGTTCAAGGAATGCCAAAAAGTGTTTTAAACAGTTTGGACGTGGACTATATATGACTATATAATTTCTTTTATGAGGTAGCCGTTGAAATAGCTTTGAAAGATGCAAATGTTTTCTACACACAATTTGCTTGTTGCGTCACCCGCGACACCTCAACAAGATCTACATAAGAACCTACAATTATTGACAGTTTTGTAAGGGTGCCTGGGTACCCAGTTTCAGAAGCTCTTGAATCGCTTGGTTTTCCATAAGAAGTCATCAGATGTGAATGATGAGCAGAGTTCCTGCTACAATGCCAGTAGCTGTCCCAAATGCAGTGCTAATATGTGCTAATCAGATCACCCCTTTTTCTGGAAAAAAGCTGTGCTAGCAAGTATTCTTGATGTTCTCAAGTTCTCATCGTTCTCGACCTCCGCACTGCAACATTTGCCCCTTGCTGTTCCACGACCCTGCTGCTGCTGCTGCTGACACGATTGGTGTAGCCAGGGGCCGCCACGTTCTGAACATTGGAACACTTCGGGCTGCGTCGTTTGACTGAGCTTTCAGGTGCAGACCATTGAACACTCAGCCCTTGCACCTCCGGCCCTTGCAACATGCCACATGTCACACAAGAAACTCTTCCCAAAAAGGCGACCTGTTTGCCGAAACAAGCCGCTTGTCTGACTGGTGCGACTTGTGGGGCATGCAGGAATGACCTCCCAATAGGGATTCCTTAGGGTCCACTGCCTCATTCCTTGCTAAGAAACAGTCAGTTGTGAGAGCCACACATCACATAGAACACCAGAAGATGGAGAAAAGCCGCTGGACCAGCCCGCTGGTACTCGTTTGCAATGCGGCCCACAGGGAAAAAGCAAAGCGTCGTGAAACATAGCATTCCTTGGCGTGTATACCTTTATCAGAGGCCTTTCTTGCGTAACAGCAAGCTCAATTTTATACGCGCATGGGTGGGTCCTGTGTGTTACCAACTGAGGTTGCAGGTGATGATTAATGCCGACATTTCTGTCGTTCGTTTGGCTTGTTACTTGTAGTTGCGGTGAGCAACTAGTCATCCCTGAGCCAGGGAGATGATGTAACAATCCGGAAGATGGGCGTTGCCGAAGCGAAGCAGATTTTGGAGAACTCCCCAGCTGGGTGGGCTGATCGTTTGACACAACACCTCGGCACCATGGTGAAAGTCGTCAGGGTAACTGACAGTGGCACCGTAAAAGTGAAAGCAGAAGGTGGGTCGACTTCATTCTGGCCAAAGTCGATGCTTGAGCGAAAGACGGAGGCCGGACATGTCTTGCAGTTGAAAACACTTCTGCATCATTGGGCGGGCCATGAGGGTCAAACTGTGAGGAGATTTATCTGGAAATCCTTGTTAAGTAGTCGTTGACTGCCCTGAGACCATTGGGCCATCCAGAAACCGAAAGGCTGGGCAGACAAGTTCCAACAGCCAGTCTTTTGGTCCCAAATGGAATTTCTCCGCTTTTGGTTTGAGCCAAGTTCACATGGTGCCCCAAAGAACACTTCACCAAGCTTCTTTTCAGCGATGGTGAGGCCTTATGCATTGACGCACGAGTAATGAGTTTCCTTTCGAGCGTGTGGCATCTTTTTCAGTGGCCGACTTGGTAGGACACCTCGAAGACCGCACCTCCGCTGGGCAAGCAGATTCTGAGCTTCCGGGAGTATGACCCTGTCACAGGAGAGCTCAAATTCATGGTCCGGGGAACCGAGAGAGGTGGGACGCTGGACACCTGCCGTATCCCACTGCTGCAAAGCGGCGCCATCCTACGTGATTTGCTCCGCCTAGCACAGGTGGCCGAGGTGGCATTCCGCGTTTGCTTGCTGTGCCTGTTCTTGCTTTCTTTCTCTACTTTTGTCAGTTCTCAACGACGTTTCTTGGAATAAACACATCTTGGAACCCTCGGCAGGTTAAAGGCCTCGAGGCGGCTGCGCGCACAGCACGAGCAGCCCGCGGCATCAGTTGGTCCAAGTTGACGCGGAGAGGGGAGCTGTTCTTGCCCAAGGAAGTTCTGCTTGGGGTGGTGCCCGCGTGCCTTTTGGAGACCTACCACTTCTATCAAGACATGACAGAGGATGCCGTCCTGCGTGGTTATCCGCTCAACCAGAAGCACGAGGAGGAAGCCTTCGCTAGCATGGATCATTGGCTGTTGGTCAGACTTGTGAAAAGGCATACCTCAAAGCACACTGGGAGCACAGGCCTTCATGCCTTTGTGAGAAAAATCACGAAGTCCCCCACAGGAAAGACCTTGGCAGGGCCAAAGCTGGTTGACTTGCTCTTCGCAGAGGAGGGCTCCCCCGGCTTTGTCGTCGCTCAGGTCATTTCAAGGCTTGAAAACCTATCGCACTGCTTGGCATGGTCTTACGATGTGGATGGAGCTGCGGGATCTTCCATTGACATCCTTGAGCTGCCCAGATTGCGCTTGAGTTTCGAGCACAAAGATGGCCAGCTGCTCTCCAAGGACTTCAAGGGCATGCGCTTGGTGACTCATGCCCCGCCCAGAGTGGTGCAATTGATGAGAGGGCTTCCTCACAGCGTTCCGCTTCAGGACCGGAATGACAACTACCACATTTTGGTGCCTTTTGTTCTAACCCACCGGCCAGACATTGAGTCGGACCCATTCTCAGGCGAACTGGTCTTGGAGCGAGAGAATCGGGTATGGTCAGCCCACAGCGTCAAGGTGTTTCTGTACGAAGTCCACTTGTCACAGACTTTCCTTTACACACCAACTCCGACAGCTGCACTCTATTTGTTGTTGCTGAAGTTCCAGCACAGGCTCTATGATGAGGTGGCTCGGTTGGTGCTTTCCATAGCCACTGATAGCAGATACCAAGACGAGCCTTTTCATGTGTTCTCACACTTGCAGACTGTGGTGGACGATCAGCATCCGGATGCTTGTGCTTGTAAGGTGAAGATTGGAGTGGTCACCGGTGATGCTGACATGCAACTGCCGATGAGGCTAGACTTGGAGATGGCGCTCTACGTGCAAAAGCTTCACCATGTGTCGGCCTCGTGCCGTCTCACTTTGGAAGAGGAACAGCGAGCTTTGCAACTGATCGATGATCACAACGAGCGCTTACGGATTGCATTGGAACACCTGGAGTCTGTCCCAAGGAGAGATTGGGCTGAGAAGGTGGAGGATAAAAAGTTCCTGGCTGCATTTCAGGCTTTGCTTCGTTCAGCATCTCTGCCAGTGCACATGGAGGATGCCAAGCGGCTCCTTGTGCAGTCAGTCAACTGGAAACATTTGCCTCCAGACATGGTTGCCACCCTTTCCAACAGACGAAGCGTGTTGGAAGCTCTTGGAAAGGCACCTTCAAGCCAGGTGGACCTGTGCCAGGTCGAGCTCAGCTTGCCAGCGAGGGGAACAGGTCCCAAGTCTTCACGACCGGGCAGTGTGTTCCAAAGCAAGGACACCAGCTTCATGACCCGCAGCCCGGACAGCATCATCTCAGAACTGGGACATGTCGGGCTTCCAGACCGACGCAAGCTCAAACTCAACGATGCCGTGGCCGTCGCCTATGGAGCTCTTCACTCAGAAGACGCGGGCAGGGAAATTTTTTGGATGCTGTACCTGCTCCTCTTCGAGCACAAATATGGTGTCAAGGTGCAACTGAGGAATGGGCAACTTTGCCGCCACTCGCACTGCTTTGGCAGCATCCTTTTTTTTCTGTCCAGCTTCAGCCGAGCATTTGGGACTCAGCAAAGCCTCCTGCGTTTGATGATCCACAACAAGGAGTTGATGGAGAATTTGCCGCCTTTGATCGCAAAGAAGGAGCGCGAGTTTCATAGTCAAGTCTGGGAACTGAGCGCTGCTTGTCGAAGGCACCTCTCAGAGTTGTTTTGGCCGCGCAGTGTCGAGACTTTCAAGTGCCTAACCCAAAAGGTCGAAATGGTTTCCGTGCGTCCAAGTGGCGAGGGGCTGGGTGGTGTTCGACCAGAGCTGCGCAGTGGCCCCTTGGCCAAGCAACTGGATCGCCTTGTTTCTTGGAAGCCCCCGAGGGTTAGCAATGCCTTGCAAGGGGAGATCTACCTAGCTTCGCGCCCATCCAATCTGGAGCACTTCAGTCGGAGCCCACTGGAAGGCTTAGAAGGCGGGCTGGAGCGGTATGTGGCCAGTGTTGGGGCCGAACATGTCAAAGAAACCCTGCCGTTTCAACTTGAGAAGCATCCCGACATGAAATCGCCTCTTTCACAAAAGGCCCTGAAACGTATCAAAGACGAGATGCAGCGCTTCGCAGAACAGCATCGTGATGACCGAAAACAACTCTTGTTGTTTGTGGACGCAGCGGGCGACAATAGGCCTCCCGTGCCAGAAGAGACATTTGACTTGAGGATTGCCTTGGAAAGGCTGCGAGCTGCTGACGTGAAAGAGATCGAAAGGTTGACCGAACATGTGCTGAAAGAAGCTTCCAGTCTCGATCATCCTCACGAAAGACCAGCAGAAGAGATTCTGAGGTTTTGGTTGCTTCGCTATGCTCGCCAGGAAGCAGAAGCTTGGTTCCAATTCCTTTGCGCAGTGGTGTGCAGCAATGCATCCTTGCAAAACCTACTTCACTTGAACCCCTTCCTCACAAGCAATCAGTGTGAAAGCTTGGTTCAGCAGGTGGCTGTTCTCATGCTCCACACCGTCCGAGTGATTCAAATCAACCGAGCTTTGGATCAGCTGCAGAGTTTGATCTCGGCCATCAAGAGTCCACCATCCAAAGCTCACGCAGCTCGCATCAAGGAGGAAAGCTTTCTTCTTTGTCAGACCTTGGTTGCTGAGAGGTGTTACATGGCAGGATGTGAAGCTGGAACCAAGTATGCTTTGGACCCCAGACTTTTGAGCTTTGAGTTCAGTGACAAGAAGCTGCTACGGCGGCGGCAGGTGGAATTGGTTCGAGATTTCTCCAAGTCGGCGGAACATGATGTTTCGCTGGTGAAGCAGATGATCATGGGAGCAGGAAAAACGACAGTTGTCTCCCCGCTCTTGGGTATGCTGCTCGCTGATGGCAGACGGCTGGTCGTTTTGATGGTCCCCGCGCCCCTATTGGAGTTTGCCAAGTCGGTGCTCAACGCCGTGTTTTCCAACATCGTTCTCAAGCGCACCTTCACCTTCCAGATGACTCGTAGTGACGACATCGACTGCCAGCTCTTCAAGAAGATTAGCAGACTTCGCGACAGTGGGGATTTGGTTCTGACCGTGCCTATGGCCACCAAAAGCCTCATGCTCCGCTTTGTGGAGTCTTTGCTTGTACTGAATGATCGGAAGGCCAGACAGAGGACGCCTCAACTCCGAAGCAACATGGTGAACTTGGGGCAAACTCTTGAACTTTTGCAGGTGTCTGTGGTGCTGATTGACGAGGTCGACTGGGTGTTGCATCCTTTGAAGTCTGAGCTGAACTTCCCGATTGGCGAGAAACAACCCATAGATCTCGCTCCCCTTCGCTGGGAACTGCCACTGCATTTGCTGGAGTCGTGCTTTCTTGCCGCTGTCTCTGACATAGCTCCGACAAAGAATGCGACCACTCTGGTGGAGTTGAAGCAGGCAATCGACAGAGGTTTCGACCAGTGTTTCATCATGAAGGAGCCACACATGGTTCTTTTGGATGAGAAATTCTACCAAAAGGAGATGAAGCCTCCTCTGCTGAAATGGCTCAACATTTTCCTGAACCAGAAGCACACTGGAAGACAGTTCATAGGTGGTGCAGATGGCCAGGGGCTTCAGTCTGAGGAGGTTCTGGCATTCGTTGGCAACACCTGCAACATTTCGAGCAACTACTATTTGATACCTGGCAAGTATAGGCTGACTTACCAAGACACGGACGTCCAGATCGGTGGCCCATACTTCGCACGTCCAGGTGAGGGTGGTGACTTCTTTCTCTCTGGACTCAGTCGACCAACTTTGCAGGCGTCGTCAGCGTCACACCAGTGGGTCATGCAACGAGGATCTCAGAAGTGGATCTTGGGGCGGCTGGAGGGTGAGGAGGCTGAGGTGGAAGCCTTTTTCGAGGCCTTTGTGACTCCTGGGGATGATGAGTGTCCTGTATCCTTGCAGTGGCAGCTGGTGAAACTGAAAGAAGAAGAAGGATGGAAGCTGCGGCCAGACACGCAGATGGAAGCAAAAGTTGCAACACTTGAGGCAAGGATGGCTGGAGAGACGCAGATTAGCGCTCACGACATCAAAGTCTTGACTTTGGCGAGAGACTGGATCAATGTCATTCTACCACACTGCCTCAAGAAGATCAACCGTGTCACCTTTGGATTGATGACAGATGAGCAGGTCAACGATGCTTTGCTAGAGAATCCACTGATGTCAGAAACCCGCGGCAAGCTGGGTATCCCCTTCATCGGGAAGGACATGCCGTCACCAGCCGCTGAGTTCCAGCATCCTGATGTTTTGGTGGGATTGAGCTTCTTGAGCTATCGCTACCAAGGCCTCAGGAAGAGCGACATGGCCGATTTGTTGTCGACTTTGTCTGAGAGATATTCACGAGAGCCTGGGAAGCCTGGCCAGCGTGCAAGCAACAAGCTATTCAAAGCATGGGTTGAAGCTTCAGGCGGGAGAATTGCAGGCGAGCCCACTGACAATGCTGAGTTGCCAAAATTTCGCCAGCTTCATGAACTAGAGCTCACCAACGAGAGACAGATGGAGGAGCTACACCAACTACTCCACAAGACTGCGGCGGTGGTTGATTGGTACCTGAAAAATTGCATCTTCCCGGCGTTCATGCGCTTTCAAAGCCAGCAGCTTTCTGCCAGCGGTGAAGATCTTGGGGGTGGCATTCTCTTCAAGACCCGCTTAGGTTTCTCTGGAACTCCTTCGGACTTGATGCCCATGGAGTTGGGTTCTTGCGACTTTGAGCCTGGCAGCGAGGGGGAATGCATTCACAACCTTTGCACTTCGGAAGGCTGGGTGCGAGTGCGAGACATTGGTTGGCGTGGTCATGTATTACTCGCATCTCATGTCTTTTTTTTACAACCTTCAGGGCGGTGTTTCTATATTTGTTTTTGCAACTGTTTGCTGATTCTCCTCCCTCAAATTCTCACCCAAAGTCCCTGCAGCCAGCAAAACCACGTTCGGGTGCCAGCCGCGGCAGACGTTATCTTCTAAACCCCCTATAGGCCATCCCTGGAAGATGTTCACCTGTTTGATTCTCCTTCGTTTGGGGCCCGCGTGCCGGCCAGGGGCCCCAAGAACTCGTTCACGGGTTCGGTGCACCACGTGGCATTGAAAACCATCTTGAAGTCTGGAGTCACTGGAGTCTGGACATGTCATTCTCCATGTCCGTTGGTTTGGAACGATCCGCGGTTCGAGATTCAGCGGTTTGGCCAGGTGGCATCGTCAGCGTACACGAGATCGGAGACAATGAATGGAACGCCAAGTCCTTGCTGCGACACATTGCGAGTAGCAGGAATCCTCCTCTCCATGCTTTAATTGATACTGGGGCGCTCATCACCGGAATGACGAACCAAGAAGTTGCTCAGTTCTTGTTGTATGATTCCGAGGGCCTTGCTTCAGACTTCGAGGGGTGTGTGTTCGTGTCCGAAAGTGGACGTAAGCAGATCTTGGTTCGTTCTTCGCAGGCTGTTGTAAACCTTGATGAGAGCCCTTCGATCTCTCTTGAAAAGCGCTTTGTGTTCTATGACCAAGTGCACACGACTGGAATGGACATCCAACACAAACCGGATGCGGTTGCTGCCTTGACCCTGGGCAAAGACATGGTGTTCCGGGATTATTCCCAAGGGGCATATCGCATGCGTGGGATTGGCAAAGGGCAAAAAATCCATTTGCTCATCGTGCCAGAACTACGGCAGATGATGGATAGCATGTATGACCCTTGGCAGTCTTCCGAAGCCTGTCGAACAGACACAGGCGGTGCTGAATGTGCAGTTCCCCCTGAATTGCGTGTGCCTCAAGTGGGCGCGTGGCTTATGCTGAACACCGCTTTAGCCGATCAGCTGCAGTGGGCATCCCTGCAGATGAAGGATGCGGCAAATGTGTGGCGACTGCCGGCTTTCCGCTGCTTGTTGGGTCATGACGGTCGCCTCTCTTTCCGAGATGTCGAGGAAGAAAAGGTTCAGAAGTCCGCGGCCACTTTCGTAGATACTGTCATCATGAACGTCAAGGATGAACTTCCGAAATCACGGGCGATGGATGAGATACTGCAGAGGGCCATTCAGACAGCCCAGAAAGCGGGCCTTTTGGAAGTTCCACACCCTGATGCCCCCAGCAGGCCAAAACCGGAAGAGCAGTTCTTCAAAGTTTGTCAGGAGAAGAAAACAGGGAGTGAGATGTTGAAGATGGTCCAGGACGAAGTGTCGGAATTTGTGAAGGCCACCACCTTGCACATAGACGTCGGCCAAGGCTTGGACGCCGAACAGGAGAAAGAGCAAGAAAAGGAGCAAGAGAAGGAGCAAGAGAAAGAGCAAGAACAGGAGCAGGAGCAAGAAATGGAGATTGAAAAGTTTGTCGATTTGCTCTACTGCCGTGACGACGAAGAGCCTGATCCCTGGCACTACGAGACCTTGGCCAAGGTCTTGCATCTTCGGAAGTTGAAGACCAGCCTCACCAAGGAGGAAGTCCAGACTTTGCTGGAAGGGCTGAGCCCGGCAGAGAAGGAGAGGGGGCCCTGTTGGGATGGATTCCGCATCATCCACCTGTCCACGCATTGATCCCTGCAACTTGCAACCACCTCAATGTAGCTAAATATGCCCTCAGTGTCCTCAGTCGAAAAGACTCCACCGCTCGGGTGGACGACCTTTCTCGCCCTGTTGTCGGTTCTTCACCCCAACGGTAGTGCGGTAGTGCGACGGTAGTGCGAGGCCCTGTTAGGACCTTCGATACCAGATGGTGTTTGTGACTCCTAACTGGTTAGTACCATGAGGTCCGTTACATTGGCCCCCTAATTAACTTGGCATATCACCACCATGAGGGGAGGCTTTTGAATTATACCAGATGTTGCGGTTCCACCTCCATTTGATGCCCTGTTAGGACCATGAGGTCCGGTACCAGATGGTCTTTGGGGACCCTCGAGTTCTTCTGGCGCCTCCTGACCTGGAAGCTTGGACCGAACGGTGCCGAAGTCGGGCGACGTGGGCGCCACCGAAGCTTCCAAACCTTTCAACTTCAACTTTTTTTGAAGAGTCCTCCGTCTGAGAATTGTAGGTAGCAGCTCTTCCTTTTTTTGGTGTGTGAGTTATCCTGCAGAAGGCTAACCCTTGAGTCATTCAGGACCACTGCTGCACAAGCCAACTGTGAATTCGTTCCAGCCCATATCGTACCGCAAAGCGTGTACACTGTTACTGCCATCCCATTAGCTATAAAGTGATTCTTCGATATTTTTTGCAAACTCTTCCTCACTTTGAAGTTGGCAGTTCAAGAGCGCGGCTTGTTGTTATTTCCTGGAAGTGTTTTCTCGCTTTTTGAGGTAGTGAAGCTTGAAGCCTGCGAGGGGGACAAAAGCTTTAACCTGGCTCAAACTATCCCAGCTGATGCAACCTTTCCTATGAAGGTGGTCCTTACACTGAAGTCAATCCCAGAGCAGTTCTACAGAGCGGCTGAGTTCAAGGTCAACAAGCTTTGTCCATCGTTGCCTTACTTGCCAGCAGACCTTCTGATCTCGAGGAACTATTTCAACCGAAGTTGGTCGGGCTTCAGAAGGGTGAAGAATGTGGCAGTGGTTCTGGAATGGAGTCGTCCAGTTTCTGGAGATGGAGCTTCTGGCGTGAGAGTTCACATATCGACAGAGGCACCATGGAAGCAGGAGCAGCAGGAGGCCAGAATCACAGATTGTCTCCAAAGAGTTTGGCCTCTCTTCGACACAGATGGCGGACATCTCCTGGCCAAGCAGGTGCAGCTGGTCACAGCTGCCGCCTTTGATTTGGGCTCAGATTTCATGGACTGTGTTGGAGAGGATTTGGGCATGGACGGGATACGGAACGTTTTGTCTTCAAATGTTCATCATGAGACTGAAGCCGACCGCTTCTTTGTCTTAGTCAGCCTCGCTGAAGCAGAGACCCTGCGACGCATCGCCCACTGCAAGAGCAGCAAAGACGGTCCAGTCTTCGCTGGTGCCAAGCATGCCAGTTTTGCATTGAGATCTTTGGTGGATTGGAGCAAGCCTTTTGACAAAGCTTCCGGCTTTGAGCAAGGCGAGAAAGGCTTTCAGACACAGCAAGCCGCGCAAGTCTCAAGGTTCCTCAACTGCGAGACCTCTTTCGAAGGACATCAAGTGAACGCAGTCAGTTGATAACCTTTGCATATATACACTGGCCTGAAGTATATATATATATATATATAACTGTATATATATATAGCTATTTTTGGGGGATTGGTCTCCCCACTAAACCAGAACAGGTAGAAAGTTTGGTTAACCTTGATTTTCGATGATCCCTTCGAAGGACATCAAGTGAACGCACTGCTGAAAGCGATGTGCTGGGAAGATCCCTTGGCGAGGGAGCGCTTCTTTGTTTCAGTGGGTGGGTGCCGTCGCAGAGCTCTTGGGGACAACTGGCGGGCCTTCAGTGTTGCTGAAGTCTTTCGGTCAAATCACCAGTGGGACTTTCTAGTGAAAAGGCTCCGGGGCGAGCTGCTGAAGAAGAAAGCGTGCTCGTTTCTGGATCACGACCTTTCAGGCTTCTTTGCACGCATCGACTGGGACCAGTCCGGAGACGTGGATGTCAAGGAACTCTCTTCCGCCTTGATGGGTATGTTCAACATCTCCGCCTCAGAGGAGGACATGAGGGAGTTGGTTCAGTGGTTTCACGCCATCGATGCGGATCGCAGTGGAACCATCTCCGAGGACGAGCTCTCATTGTTCCTGGGCCAGCTGAGCCACATGTCTGGTGAGGAAGAGAGACAGTCCGTGCGTAGGAGTCTTCGAACTCAGCTCACTGCCATTCATGAAGATGAAGAGCACCAGGAGTTTCTTCAGAAGGTTTCGGCGAGCGAGCTGAAGCTAAGAAAGGACCAGGAGGAGAAGGAGCTTGCGGCCAAGCAGGAGCTGGAGGATTCTTGGGCTGAGATTCTAGAAGAGCAGCTGGGTGAGAATCCTCGGTTGGAAGATTCGGGCACTTGCGCAGTCTTTAGCTTTCAACAGCCTAACCCTCCCAGATTTACCAACTTTGTGGGCTTGACCAACGAGTCTGTTCAAGACAATGACCCCCGCCTGAGAGGTCAGAACCTCCGATTTTGGTCGCTGGACCAATCCGCAGCTGTGGTACAGAAGATTCCGCTCAAAATACCCGAAGCAGCGGAATCTGGGGAGCTCGACTTCGTGGACCGCTACAATCTCACCATGTGGTTCTGCCTCCCGCAGCTTCCAAGCGAGAGGCTGACACTGATTCACTGGGGGAAGCCAGAGACAGATCTCTACAGCGACTTACCAGCAGGAGAGATTTATGTGTGGCCTGATGGCCGAGTAGCCCCGGAAGGTTTACAAGAGGCGCGCTTGTCAGAAGAAGCAGGGCAGGTGGACCAGGAGTTGTCCACGGACTTTTTGCTGCAACTCAATGCTGTTTCTGACCCAGGTGCACTTGCTGAAGCGTTCAGCGCACTGGGCCTGCATCTTGGCACTGAAGCAGGTTCGGATACGTCGCAAGCTGAAATTTGTTTGCGCATCTGGCTCCAAGTGGATTCTTGCACACGCAAGGTTGTGGGAGGCGTGCTGGTGGGACGCGACCGCTGCCGTTTCGAAGGTGTGTGGGACAGTGGAGACACAGAGTCACATCTGAAGCTGGTCTGGCACTTTCGAGGTGCAGCAGGTGACTTTGAACCTTTTGCTGAACTAAGCGGTACGTGGAAGGAGACAAGTGCATCCTGTGATGGCGAGGCTTCCACCTTCAACTCCCTGAAGGACTTGTTCAAGGGGTTCCGCTTGTCATCCCAATCTTTCTTGGGTGGCCTTTGGCACATTGAGACGAAGACCGATGGGCACGAGACCAAGCATGCCATGGCAGTTGCCACCCAGCAAGGTGAGGTTCTCCAGTTGGACCTTGGCGCAGGGGTCTTCCTGTCGGGCTGCATGACAGCCACTGACATCGTGCAAAAGTGCGACATCAGTTTCAGTTGCACGGGACGCCCGGACGTGGACTCTTGGGTTGGTCAGGTCTCCAGCCAGGCAATGGAAGGAAATCTCCGTCACGCTGCCCAGGACATTGGCGCTTGGTCTGCAAAACGAATTCGAAATCCTTCGTCCTTGCGCTTGCCAAGCATTTTTCTGCAGCGTGCAGTGAGGTGGTCAAGCAACAAGATTTCTGCACCCCAGACAGAGGCTCTGAGCTTTCGGCAGTTTTCACCTGATGCGCCAAGTGATGTAGAGATGAAAGCCAGTCGTAAAGTGTACTTCGAGATCACTTTGGAGGAACGTGACAGTCTAAAGTCAGTCGCTTGGATTCCTGTGAGCCAGCCGGGGCATCCGCACGCGGTGAGTTTGGCAGCAACCGCCACCAAAAAGGCACAGTTGGACCAAAAGACTCCACCTCAACGCAGGAGACGCAAAGCGTCCAATTCCTCAGCAGAGGACTCGGTGCCAGATTCCTCTGACAAGTCTGACAAGGAAGAAGAGCTCACGGGGCGAGCGGATGTTGAATTTGACGTGACCTGTGTGAGGTTCTCACAAGGAGATGTTCTTGGATGCCTCTACAACACGAAAGCTGGCCAGGCGAGCCTTTCTTTGAATGGGAAGAGGCTAGAAGAGAAGGACATGAAGGAAGCCAAAGGCCACCACTTCCCCGAGCTGGTTCTTCATGGGGGACGAAGTATTTGCATCAATTGGGGACAAGCACCTTTTGCTTTCGGCTCATCGGAGTTTTGCCCGCTCCTGACGGCACTTTGCCGGCACCAGGGAAGACAGTGGAGAGCAGAACATCCACATGCAGATCACCTTAGTGCTGAACTTGGAGAGGGCATACCGATTCATTTGCAACCACACATTGAATCTGATATCGTGGACCCAGAGAGATTCTACATATCACTTGGAGATGTCATTCTGAGCCTGGAAGAGACAGATGCCTGGTTGCGACACGAGTGGGGCTGGTCACCAAAGTCCTGCTTCGTATGCCATGAAGAAGACCTAGAAGCTACAGAGAATTTGGAGGACGTTGAACTTCTGGAGGACCTGACAGATGTTTCCGCTGATGCTCGTGCTGAAGATTCCGATGGTGAGAAACAGGGCAAGGTGATTTTCAGCCTTCGACACCACACCCTGTGGAAGATCGTTGCAGGGAAGCTCAGTCGCTTGAGCGATCTCAGCCTTGCAGGTGGTGGGAGACATGCTATTCAGACTTCTGACGAGGCAGGAGCTCGAGAAGTTCACAAGCTCATGCCGACCCAAGAGGAACAGCTGCGCAAGCTACAGCTTCTTGCACAGCGCGCCGGGCTCAGATTTCAATCTACTGGCGAAGACCCTGCTTTAGCACCAATACATGCCAGAACATGTGGGGTGAAGGTGCAGCGCAATCATTGGCATGTGCTAACTATCTCCGCAGACCTTCCCTTCTCGATGGTTTTTTGGCTCGATGGGGAGCGCATCTTGGAGATTGAGCCTGGCTATCCAAGCCTCAGAAGCAAAGGTCCTTTTTCCTTGGTCACTCAGAATGGCCTCTCCTTCTTCGGGATGAAAGGCCTGTGCTCCAGTTCTCAGAAGAAGTGGATGCTTGGCGGTCGGATACGTGAAGCTCGCATTGCTCTTGGCCATCTCCCTTCGAGGGCAGAGATTTTGCAAGTGCATCAGCCTAGAGGAGTTTGGCTTCGCAGGCACTCTGAATGTGAACGACAAGGTCGGCAGACCAGGAACTCCTCCACCGCCAGGACATGCTGGAAATGCAAGACTGACAAGCCGAAATCCGGTGTGGCGCCACCTCAGAATCCGGATCCTAAGACTGGCCTTCTCACCTTGGTCGCTGATGAGTTCGACAAACTGGTGCTGGACAGTGATCATTCAGTCTTTGTGGACTGTACAGCGGATTGGTGTGGCCCCTCCGTGCAAATCAAACCGTTGCTGTACCAGTTGGCCAATCTCACAAAGAAGCTTGGAAGTTCCAGTGAGGATCGGATCGTCGTGGCTATGATGGACACGGATGAAAATGAGGCAAACCCAGAGTATTTCCCGGAACCCTACATCCCCAACATGAAGCTCTTCGTGAAGGGCGAGAATAAGAGGTGCCCCGTGAAGTTTGACGGCGAGCGCACCCTCAAAGGGATGTTGCGATTCATCGAGGAGAACACGGGAGTCAAAGACTTTGTGAAAGCTTTGTCTGAGGGCTACCCTGCTTACAAGGAAAAGCATGACATTGACAATCAACTTGGAAGGTTGCAGAAAGCAGTTGAGGTCTTCTTTTCAACGCCACGCCCTCAGCGATGCACCGTGATGGCTTGCGAAGTGTACCAGGCAGCCGCGAGATTTCTACTGTCTGGTGAGCTGGAGAAGGTGAACAGCGGCCCATCAGCTGGCTCCTGTGATCAGGTGGTGAAGGACACTGAACCTCTATGTCCATCAAACATCTATGTGAACAATTGAACATCCATGGTCAAGATTCGTAGACATGGAGACATCTGGAATTGGAGACACACACACATTATTGCTCTCAGTGAAGTTCTTTTCGCTTTCCTCGTTCTCACATCGTCCATCGCCGTCGTCCAGTCTTGGACACGGAGCAGCGTGAGCAGCGGCCTGGGTTCACTCAAATCATAGCCATAGCCCTCACTAGAATTGACATGTTTAAACTAGATGGGATGCAAATCCCCTCTCCTCATTTCTCGCCCTGTTCCCAAGAAAAGCATCACGGTCTGGCCAGTGCTGTATTGGCCCATCTGCTTCAGGAAAGCATCCCCGAGTCCTTGGAGCGGATTCTGCCCTTTTTGTATGGATGGTAAGGTTTTTATTCACACTGTGGGTGTCAAGTGGTTGGTGTGAAGTGAATTGAGTATGCCCTCGGAGGGAAGCCAGTACAGACCGCCCCCAATCACCGTGGATGGAGCGAGTACTGTAAAGGAGCATGGGACAAGAGTTGGCTACACATGCATACTACACATACATTGTACAATATTGTGCATATACTATAATATATTTTTTTGAATGTTATTTTGCTACCATGTTTTTGTTGCTATCTACACTATGCTGTATGAAATCATGCTAAACTAGCTAGTTCTTTTTGCAGCTTTTCCCTAGCAATAAGTCACCAAACAGAGAGCTGAGAGCAACACAGTACCGCCATATGGTGCCACAGGTCTGCTGTAGCCTTTCAGCTGCGAAGGTCTTTGTCAGTCGCACATGCCCTCCATTCAAAAAGGTCATGCCCTTCATAAAATGCTCATGCCCAGCCAACTGCTGACTGAACTGCATTTCAGTGAGACCAACTGCCCACTCATCCTTTAAAAACACACATTTCATACACAACCAACTGCTGACTGAAAGATGTGTCACAAATCACTGCCAACCTACCATCAGTAGCTACTCGCCAGGCCTACAGGAACCACATTTGTTGCCATCCTTTGTTGCGGTCCTAGCTTTTGGACCGGGCAACCTCTGCCACACGGCGATCCAGGATTCTGAAACACACCGAAACACGCAGTGCCTCCCCCAAAAACACCTCATCCTCGGTGACGTCAGTGACGAGAACTCGACCGCGCACTACAGGGGTTAACCGTTTTTTCCGGCTGATGAGACCATGCATATTCCATTGTCATTCCTCAATGATGGTCAACAGGGTCGTCGTTGCGCGCAAGGTTTTTCGGTTTTTCTCCGGTCAAGGTTGATGAGTTGCAATGCTGGTCCATGTTGCCAAATTTCTGCCCTGCGATGTTTGCAATGTATTTAACGTTCCTTCCCAAAAGAATGGGAACGCGCGAACGCCATGTGTTGTTCCTTCCCAGGATGCTTTGGCTGCGATGATCAAGCTGATTGATAGCACCTTGGAAGCGAGCCAGCCTGAGGCGCCGATTCCGCTGATTCTGGAGACGTTGATCCAAAAGTCTGCGCCGACATCGACATCGCAAGTCTCCCTGGACATCAAGCAGGACAGGATGGATGATCGTGCCATTGCGAGACACTGGAAGTACATGGAGGAAGCCATCATGACAGGCTGGATGTTTGAACATGCGCTGCAGAAGCCTTCAGACAGGTACAGTAAAAGAACACTTTGGCTGTACATCCATACTAGTGACTGGTGATATGCTCATACTAGTGACTGGTGATATGCTCAAACTTATGCACTTTGTGTCTACTTGTGTCCCGCACTAGGGCAACGCCTTCTTGGGATCTTGTTGTGCAATGTTGTGTGCCATTTGCTTGGCCAAAAATAAGACGCACACATATGTAACTGAGTGATCATCTCGGAAACGCACTTCTTCAACAAAAGACCCGATCTGTCAGGCAAGGACTTAGCAGGCAGAGTGCGAGGGCTACTGGAAGGTGGATACCCTATCGATGGTGGGCCTTATGGCTACTCAGGCTTTTGGCTGGCTGCTGCATACGGGAAGCTGGACGCTGCCAAGTTTCTGTTTGACCATGGCGCCAACATGCACCTCCGTGGTTCGCGTGAAAGGCTCCTGCCCATCGAAGTGGCCAGCTACATGGGCTACAGCGAGCTGGTGCAGTGGCTTCTGGACAGCGGGGCCTTTCCGCGGAAGGCCCTCCACTTTGCGGCCAAGGGGGGGAATTTAGGCATCATCGAATGGGTGCTCAAGAAAGAGCCCAAGCAAGAGGCCCTAAGTCCTTTCATCAACTCTCCTGCCTGTATTTGTTGTGGGTGGACACCATTGTCCTTGGCCATCGCCTTCCATCAGCTGGCTGTGAGCAGGGTGCTTGCCTCTGCGTTGCTCGCGTCTGAAGGCTCCAGAGAAGATCTTGCAAAGGCCCTGCCCCCACGTGTTTGTGAGCTTTGCCGTGTAGACTTTGGGTCGACCGTTCTTCACCTCCTAGCGGCACAGGGAGGATGTTGTGAAGACCTGGTTGCGTTGCTGCTACGCGAATTTCCACTCCTCAACACTATGAAGGACGACCTAAATCAAACACCCTTCGATGTGGCAGCCCCCAAGCTGAAACCAAAGTTCAATGAGGCATTTCTTGGCTGTTTGAAGTCAGTTCGACAAAGCCTCCTGTCTACTCCAGGCCGCATCCCACTAGATCAGCTGCAGAGGCATGTGACTGAAAAATGGGCTGAGGCATCAAAGTCAGACGACGACTGGGCAAAGGTGGCCACAATACTGCATAAGTCAAATGACCTTTGCAGCGCCGCTGCGAAGGAGTTGAAGAAAGATATCGCCTTCCCTGATCTCAAGCACATTGAGAAGGAGCTCCTGATTGACACTGGCATACAGGTTTGGTGTCAAGAATGCTCTTCAGAAGAGATATCTGCAGCAAAAGAAGACCTCATGACCCAAGCCCAAGATGCTGAAAAGAGGATTCGCAAAGTCCTTACATGCGATTTGGGGCATGATCCAGAGCAAGCAGCGGCGCAACAAGGGGGAAAGCTTGAGTTTAGCTTCGAAGATAGCTCTAACATCTCTTGCCAGGGCTGCGCCTGCTTTGCCACAGATGATGCGAGATCGTTGTCGGGAAAGGCCAGCAACATTGAACAACTCAAGGGCACGATGGACATTCTCACAGTGGTTTTTGATTTGGACAATTGCCTTTCCGTGAAAGTGATGTTGATGAAGCTGACAAGCGCTGAAGGCATTAAACTCCTTGCGGCACGAAACAACTTCTACATCCCCAATGCTTTGGGCTTGAGGGAGCTGATTTGTTTTCTTGAGGTCTGTTGTGGGGATGCCGGAAAAAACTCACAAATGCATTGCCAAGATGCGATGCCGTTGCTTCACAAAGCAAGTGTTAGATAGAGTAGAGAATCAAAGGCTTGCGTTGAAGGAGCACCTGAAGAACATGACCAAAGGGTGCAGTGAAGCCGAACGCTTCCTCTCCAAGGAACTTAGTGTTGTTGTGGCCCCGCCGGGCCAAGAATTGATGAGATCTTCCAAAGGAGATTTGGAAGGCAAAGCGGACAGCTTACATGATCGAGATCCTGATGGCTGGTCAGCGTTCTTGCTGGCGGCTCAACTCAACGACACGGCAGCTGTGGAGTGGATGCTGAAGGAGGACAAGACCATCGCATTGAAACCGAATCAGACTGGTCAGACAGCGATGCTATGGGCAACTTTTTGGAAATCCAAGGAGATGCTGCAACTCTTCAACCGCTATTGCCCCTTGCAACTGACGCGAGCAGACAAGGAGGGACTGGCCAGACTCAAGGAAGTGCAGGAGAGAGCGTACCAGACCGATGACTTGGTAGCATTGTCACTGCTTCAGGTGGATGCCAATGACTTTGAAGCTGCCAACGGGACTGCTCACTCAGAGCAAGCCGGAACAAGTCTGCGTCGCCGCATGGTAGATGGCGTGGCAGCTTCAATCACCAGGGCCAAGGTGTTTGTTTCCAAAGCCGGCATCTTAGGCTTGAGCCTTGAGTTTCCCGGCGACCAAGTGAAAGAGTATCCTGGTCTTGCTTAAAGTGATCCTTTATTTTTCCCTGTGGTGACATCTACCATCACCTTCCGGGGAATATATATATATATATATTTACATTTTCCACGTTCCTGGAGTGCAAATCCCAAGGTATCCCACCAATGCACACGAAGCTTTGCAGAATCAAGCCGGTGAGTGGAAGTTGTTGCACCTGGAGTCCAAGCACATCGTGAAGATCCGCAGCTGGGATTCCACGGATTCTTCTGAGCCTTCTGCTCTTTGCGCGCGCCTGGAGATTACAGCACTGCGCCCTGGTGGTGTGCCGGAAGTCTTCAGCTTCCCCAGCAAGTGCGTCAACAATCCCAGCTTCGAGTATCCAGCGGAGGGGACGCTGCAGGATAGCCAGATTGTGGATTTGCAGTTTGATGGCAAGGGTAGTTGTTTGGATGTCACTGTTGCCCCAAATCCCCAGGCCAGTCTCAAGGGTTTGAATAGCCTCTTTGTATCACCAAGCGCGACCGGGACTTTACATGGGAAGGGCAGTTTGGAGCAGTTCCTGCTCGAGACCTTGCTTCCACATTGGGAAAAGGAATGGAAGAAACTTTGGCCAAAGCCAGCTAAAAAGGATTTGCTGGAGTGGAGTGATGGAAACTCAATGAAGGGTTTGGTAGAAGCTGCCAAGTTCTTCGTTTTGAAGGCCATTGCAGAAGGTTCGCCCGCCACGCCCCAAACCATTTTTGCCCTCCATGTCCACGCGCTGAGCTCGCGCATCCCACGAGATTGCCAGCGAGCACTCTCAAGCAAAGATTCGCCTTTGCGTCACCTGTGGGCCCCCTATGCTCAACACATCTCTACCGCTTTGAAGGCCTGCCCCTTGTATTGGGGCTATGTGTTCCGTACGGAGACTTTCCTGTGTGACGGTGAGGCTCCATGCGTCGCGGAGTATCTTCGCCAGCACCGGATCAATGTAGGGTCCGAGATCTCATGGCCCGGATTTGCGAGTGGCACGAGCAGTTCTCAAGTGGCCCGGAATTTGCTTTTGGGACATGACATCGGAGAGAGACCGGACAAAAATGCCGGTATTGTCTTTAAGATCATTGAAGCACGGGCAGTTTCGGTGGCCCCCTTCTCGAAGTTCCCTGAGGAAGCAGAAGTGATTTTCGAGCCAGGATCGAAATTTGAAGTGAAGGGCTTCTACAAACTCACGGATTTCATTTTGGAGGATGGTGGATCTGCCCTGGACTGGCAGGAGTGGAAGGTTTCTTTCGATGTCATCAAGCAACCTCAACTGAAGCTGGAAGCTGCTGGAAAGGAAAGAGACCTCGTGGTGCTTTTGCAGCAAGTGCCAGCTGAGGTGGGCTTGATTGATAGGGAGCTTTCGGATTTGGTTCTTCTAGCGCAGACGCCCCCTTTCAGTTGTCTCTGCAGGGTTTTCCACCCAAAGTCGGTACTGTATTTCCGTTTTCTAACTTGGTATTTCAGGAGGTTCTTCGGTTTCTGTTGGTTCCATGGCCCCTTCAACAGGCTGTTCTCGCTTCCCCCTTGACACAGGTTCCGCCCACGACTGGCTTCGTCGGCGGGAAATGCATTCGTCCAACAGAGCTTCGAGGGATTCGGCTCTCAACGCTGGAGAGGATCTGGCGGGAAGAGATTGAGACGTCTCCTGGCAAATTAGAGTATACACTCTGACTCACTAACATGGTTACGTGAATGGCATGGCCTCTTGGAAGACTACCTTCCTCTACAAACAGTGGGTTTTCCACTTCCATGTGATGTGTTCGTCGGAGTGTATACTGTACATATGACTGGCTGGGTCATGGACTCATGGATCATCATGGACCCATGGACCTGAACGGTTTCTTCTACTTGTGAACAGTTTCTTCTAATCAACATCGTGGACAAGTATTGGATAAGATATATATCTAGTTAAGTTATGCATCCTCTTCTTAAACTCAGGTGTTCACTTCCACGCGAGCCCGCCACAAATAAGTCGCAAGGGGTAGGTGAGGTACGGTGAGGCTGACAACCATTCATGGCTTGTGTGCTGGACCATTCCGCCACGCAGCGGTGTTGGTCCATTTGGTCCATGTCGAATCAGCGTCTGATGTCGTTTTCCTCGCATTTTGGGGGAGCATGGCCGTACTTCTTGGTCTGCGTGCCACAATGATGGCCATTCGTCCACCGCGCATCCAATTGCCCATTGCCCGGAGGTGAGCGGGCGGTCGATGTAAGACCTTGTAAATGGTGAGCAGGGTGTAGTTTTGCAGGCGTGGTTGTTTCAAGAAGAGTTGATTCGTCTCGTTGCAATTCTGTGTCTTCTCCCACCGATTCTGATTTGATTTCTAGGCGTTCCGCGGCCAGCTCGAACATTTGTTTTGGAGTGTGGATTATGCTCAGCCAGCACCTCTCAGTTCGTTCGCGCTCGCCCAGGCACGCCGACCCTGGGCATGACAAGACCAAATGCTGGACCATGCATGAGGTGGTTGAGCACATCATCAAGAAGAAAACAGCAAAACGCGAAGTGAGCTATTCGGAGTTGCTGGAAGAGAACAAGGTTGAGTACTTTGTGACGCATTGGTGGGGCCAGGAGTTCCGACATTTGGTTCAGGCATTGAAGCAATTTGCCAAGGGGCTCGGTGATGGAACGTCAGACCCAGCCTTTTGGATATGTTCCTTCGCCACCAATCAGCATGAAGTGGAGAGAGGCATTTCTTTGGCCTTTGGCCCTTTCAACCTTGCACTCAAGGCTTGCAAGCGAGTGGTCATGGTTTGTGATGATGACTTTGCCACCTTCAGTCGTGCATGGTGCCTCTATGAGGCGATGCGTGCCTTCCAACTTGGTCTTCCCCTTGACCTGACAACCCCTGCAGGATGTCTTACCAAATTGCCTGCGCGCCAGCAGTCACTTGGCCTTGAGCTGAGGGATGTATTCCAGAAACTTGGGCACAAAGTGCTGCAAATAGACGTTGCAAACGCCAAAGCCTCCAAGCAGGAAGACAAAGACAGGATCTTGCAGGAGATTGAGTTGGTTGTTGGACATGAGCAGCTGAACCTGTGCTTTCGCTCCTTTTTTTGGGAACCTGCTTCAAAATTTCGCGAAGCGACCAGGACCAGAGGGTTGGGCAGGACACTCTGCGCAGCTGTCCTTTCAACTCGAGATGGCCCAGTATGAAGCCCGCAGAGTGTCCTGGCACGGCCGTCAGGATTTGCACTCCAAGGCGCAGTCCTGTGACACGATGAAACTCCAACAGCACCTGCGGCAGATGGGACTAGCAGCAGCTGAGGGATCTTCGGCCGAGGACGACGGATGTGCCTTGGATGTGCGGGATGATCGAGGAAGGACGCCGCTGCATTATGCAGTTCGTTACAATCCCAAGGCGGATGAGGTCGTGGAGCTTTTGCTGAGATCCCGTGCGGACACGGTGGCCAAGGACGATCATTTGGTGGCTCGGTTGCTTTGATTAGACCATAGGCCTGCAGGTAGAGCTGGCGTGCAGCCGCTAAAGAGTACAGAGCAGGCTCACCCACTAAGGTTTTACCGGGTCGTTTGTATCTCAGCCATGGAATGCGTTCAAAATTTCGGACTGGACCTACCGTGTTTTGCGCACAGAACGGTGTGACTTGTGCAGCCTAGGTGCAGCCTTTGCATTGGGCCGCAGCTGCTGGACACTACGTCGCGGTGGAAAGGCTGAGCTCTGACAAGTCCATTGTGGCCAAGGATGACATGGGCCTCACACCACTTCACTGGGCAGCACTAAATGGACGGAGCCAGATTGTGGAATACCTGATCCACCAGAGGGCTACTATTGACGCCCCAGCACAAGGCCGGTGCTTGAGGGATTTTGAGGGGGAATTGGTGTAACATTGTTTTGTTGCATGAGTCTCGCAAGACATGTGCAATTTCAATCCAATGAGCTCGCGAAGGGATTATATACCCTGAGTTGTGATCTTGTGAGGCAAAGGATTGCTGTAGGTTACCGTTATGACATGGGCTTAGTAAATATATATATATATTGTAAAGAGCTGGGCTTAGCTTATAGCTCAAAGTTTAAAAGTATGTATACACATGTAAACCCCACCCCTTGCTGGACCCCTTTGCTTCTCGGGCCGGTTTGACTTTGCCAAGCATGAAGAGGGTTGTGCCAAAAACACCTCACCAGCAGTGTGAACAGAACATAACAGAACCCGCCACTTCGCCAGCAGTGTGAACGCACCACCTCACCAGCAGTACGCACCTGTCACCTGTTTGACCTCAACGGCAGTGAACATGTACCAGCCGCTGGTTTCGCCTTCAGTCAGAATGTACGACGTTATGAACGATATGAGCCGAACACTGTACCGGCTGAGTACGGACCACCACCAGCGCTCGGAAGCTACCATTACAGCGGTGGAAAGCCGTGAACAGTTGTGCAGTGCTTTTGCAGTTGCACAGTTGCACCACCCCCGGTTCCACTAATGTAGACTCTTGAGTAATAACCCCCTATGAAGAGGGTTTTTCAATCCACATGGGGTGGGTGTATTCATCAAGAGTCTACATGACTTTTTGTGTTGGCCCCCCTTTTCAAATCGGAGAGGTGCACTTGGACGGACGCCGCTGCTTCTCGCAGCGGCAGCTGGTGAAGAGGAGGTTGTCATCAAGTTGCTGGACCACCAGGCCAAGCTGACCACTGCAAAGAATGGATCTTCCCTTCTACATGAGGCGGCGAAGCATGGCGCGGCCAACGTGTTGAAGAGATCTTTGCAATCCTTCAGCCCAGAGGACTTGAACCGGGCCACACCCGAGGGCCTTCTACCCGCTCTTCACCTGTTGTGCATGTATGGTGCAGGAGCAAGTGATGAGGGTGGACCGAGCCGGCTAGAAGCGCTGCGCCTGTTGTTGGAGCACCGCGCCGACCTTGAAGCAAGAGACTCACAAGGCCGCACACCCTTGCACCGAGCTGCTAGCGCCGGAGCTTCTGAGCTCCTGGAGCTCTTGTGCGTCCAGTTGCTGGAGGCGAAGTGCTCCTTGGATCCAGTTGCCACGGACGGAACCACACCGCTCCAGGTGGCCGCGTGCTGCAACCATCACTTAGTGGTGAGTTGCCTGATCCAAAGAGGTGCCGAAGTCAACAAGCAGAACAAGGAGGATAGAAGTAGAACAGCTCTTCACATGGCGGCCGAGGTGAAAGCATATGAAGCAGCAAAGACACTGCTCAATCACGGGGCCGACCATGCACTGCAGGACACCCACCAAACTGATGCACAAACTGTAGCCAAGGAAGCTGGTTACGATCTTCTTGCTCTACTCCGGTAGCTTTGGCAATATCCTTCGGCTGATGCAATCCATGGCTCGACACAATCCCTTCGTTCCATTGAAATTGATTATTTTCAACAATCCGTTGAATTCCAGGTGGTTTCAAGACATTTGAAAGACATGTGGAGCATCGCAGGACCAAAGATGCTTCCTGCGGAAAGAAACATGGTCCGACCGATATGTTTTGATATCATTTAGGTATCGTGAACATGAGATGCAGGACTGCAGTTGATTCCCAGGAATATTGTTGGATCAAAGCGTAGAACAACTTCAGTTCAATTGTGAATGTTAGTACTCGCACGCTCCCTTTATTTCCAGCACAGCGCTTGCAGAGTGACTTTGATTGAATATTTTTGTATTGTATTAAAAGACATGCAAAGGTGAGAACTGCAACCAATCCAGTTTTGATTCTGCGAATTTCGCTCCACAGCTGCGCCGGCTCAACAACTGGGACCGGCAGAGATCACGGATGGCCATGGGCCATGGGACATACAAGATGTGGTGGTATGGGCCACTCATTCCACCATGTGAGTTGACAACATTTTTGAGAAAACGTGAGGAAAAACTATTGAAAAGGAAAGGAAACAATGAAACACACATTGAGAAATGACATGGGTCGCTGGTTCCACACTATGATTTGATAAGGTCTCGTTTCACGGTGTCAGCTCCGCGTGGACTGCGTCCATCCTTCCATTGCCCCTCCCAATGTCAACACGGGGCGAGGCAGAAGTTTCAGGCGCTGGCGCTGCCAAAGCAGATGGAGTGCCGGAACCAGTTGAAATACCCATACAGTGGGAAGCAAAACACGTCGAACATCATGATGCCTGAATGAGTTCCGGGCGACGTCCTCTTTGAATTCGTCCTTCCCTCCGTGCTGTCAAACCCATTGACCATGCTCGAACAGCGTCCGCTCAGCTGGTCGAGGCCCCACAAACGTGGGCGGACATGCTGTGCGGTGCCGAGTTGCCGAGTGCAGCAAGGTGTACGACAAAGATTGCCCATGCTACCAAGTACCCTCCGACTCACTCACATGGAAGCGGACAATGGCCTTTGGGAAGGTTCTGTTCCTCTAAAACGAGGTGGTTTCCACTTTCATGTTAGCCAGTCAGATCAGTCAGAGTGTAGTCACGTTGATATACAGTGATGTGAAAATTCGCGTAAAGTGCTCCTGCTTTGGCGTAAAGAGTCCTTTGTCTCACACATGACGAGGGGAATTGTTTTGGTCTCATCACCTGTGCAGTGGCGTGGTCTAAGCCATAGACAGTGAAAAGTGCCGTGGTCCAGCCACTAGATGTGCAGAGAGGTTGCTGACTGCGCCTCTTGCATCGACCAAAGAACACCGTTGAAGACTGATGACGTTTACAGAATGAGGACCTTGTTTTCCAGGACCCTGCGGATCTGCATGTGAAAGCTCGTTTGCTTCAGTCAATAGGGAGCGGCGCGACACCATCAGGACCGGACCCAGCGGTGAATGGATTCCGCTCGTCTCACTCGTTCCTGAGGCCACTCACTCGTTCCTGAACATCTCTGATGCGCGGCTGGAAGAAATCTTCGAGAGGTTCAAGGACATGATGTTCACTGTACGTAGTTCAGGTGTGCCCCATTACCAGCAACAGGCAAACAAGTATATATAATTATCATCACTAACTTTGAGAAAGGCCCTTTCCAACTGATATATAATTGTCAAAAGGCATTTGCAAGACAATTATCATCATCATTGTATATCCACTGTCACTGATAATCGGATATGCCCAAGCTGTAGTGCCACATGCCGGCTGTGGACATCAGAGTTTGGTCAAATTGAACCTGCCTTCTAGTGGAGTTCTGAGGAATTAAGGACATCTCCCTAGTCCAGCGGCCTGAGAACCAGTTTCCGGACAGAATGATGCAGAAGAGCCACCTTGCGGATGAACACAACCGGTTCTTTCCCCCGCAGCCACATAAAAATCAGCCACAAGAGATGTCAGCGGCTTGGCCCGCATTGGACGCTCTTGGCGCCTGGACCATGCCTCGGAGCCCGTGCCGGTCACCGCGCGCGCTTGCCCGATCCCTTCGCGCGGTCGGAGCAGGAGGTGTCGGGCGAGATGAAGGTCCGCCACCTGGACGATGCCATGCGCGTCGCGCGGATGAACCCGCAGGACTTCGAGGCGGTCCGCGCGTGCGAAGCAGCGCGGCGGTCCTGAGCGGATCTAAGAAGTTGAGGGTCCCGAGGCTTGCCTCATGGCCGGGCTGAAAAGAGGCAGCGCAATTACATAGCCTTCCAAATACTAGTAGGTAGATAAAAAAGGAATTAGATAGTCACGAAACCGTGGCTGCGATCCAACCGCCTTCCCTTTCCCCACAGCTCGGAGCCCTTTCTGCCCGGGCCACCAGCACCGCACCGTGCCGCGGCCGTGAGCTTCGGACGGAGGTCCGAAGGATCCTGGAGGACCTGGGGAATCCGGACTCCTTCAGCTTGACCTCCTTCAAGCACACGATGAAGGAGAGGGCAGAAGGAGGACACACGTGGTTGTGCATGAAGGAAACCCACGCGAACAGTACGTTGGTTGGCTTTTCGCGACGGACATTGGCTGCTTGTGATCGTATTGATCCCAGCATGGGGGACAACACTCATCTAAAAGCGGTATTTCCAATGCACTGTAAGTGTCAAAAAGCGAGGGTCAGCTCAAAACCGCTGGTTGCAGCTAAGAATTGAATGCAAAAGGCACGAGCAAAAGCTCAAGGACGGCGCAACAACGGCATCCAACGTCGGAATTGGTGAGAGATCGTCTCAGATAAAGCGATCGACGCACGTGTGGACACGTGCAGGTCCACACGCGCATGGCCCGGACATGGCACCAACACCGCGGAACGTCGCGGGGAACGCCGGAACGCCAGGATGCCCTGGCGGAGTGGTCCTCAAGGGACCAGGCCCTGGGGTGTGCACGGTTTCCGGTGTCTGGCTGTGGGCCTTGCTGCTTTCAAAGAGTGGCATGTGGGGATGTAAGCGGCAATCTGCGCTTCAATCCTCCAAACATGAATGCCCCCGACTGAAAAACTTCTCCCCCCACTTGTCTGCATGATGTACCTGTGCTTCGCCTTCCACGTGCGGCCTGCGCAGGTCCAAGAGTTGCTACAATGCTTCCGAGTCTTCGATCGCCAGGGCACAGGTGTGGCAGCTATAGTTGTTGTTAGGGGTCCCGCATCGGCAGCTTCCCCCCCTCCTGAGGATGGCTCATGATGCTCATGCTTTCCCTTTCCGTTTGGCGTTGAAAGAGGTCGCAGCCAAGAGGGTAGAACTTTGTAGTTTTCGTCTTGGTTAGTCAGGTCCGTTGGCCGCAAATCTCTTTGAGGCGTCCTCTCGCGGCAGAGCATCCACAAGATCATGGGCATGGGCAGTCTGAACCCTAGCAGGGTGAACGAAGGCAAATGATGTTGCCTCGGCCTGTTTTAATGGGCTTATTGCTCTACCTACCTCGGCCTGTTTCAATTGGCATTCTGCTGGAGCTATCATGGAAGTGGAGAACGACCCTTGGATGACGATTTTCCTCTACAAACCGGTGCTTGTCCACTTCATCCGGGAGTGTATCACCTCTGCACTCGCATTTTTCACCTTTTCTTTCCCATGTGCATCTTCTGTAAGATATTCTGCATGACTGACGCGGCGTGTGACGGCCGAGACCCCAGCTTCTCCGAGGGTCAGTTGGAGGAGAACGACTCGACTCGTTCGAACCGTTTGGCCACCATGATTAGTAGATATGTAGATACAGTAGAATTCAGCATACTTCCATATACTTCCAATACATAGTCCTGTCAAGGGCGCGTCTTCTCAAAGTAGGTGCACGCGAAATCCAGTTGGCAAAAGCATTCTGACTTGACCCAACCCTCTCGTATTCCATGACATCCATGAGAGTGTCCTGTTTGGGTCCAGGATTCGTTCCAACGCGCCACGATGCTACATATGTGACTGTGACCTGCGACGCATGGCCACGTGCCGAAGGACATGCTCCAAAAGGTGCACGGCACCAGCTGCTTGGCCTGGCAAAGTGGGGCAGCTGGTGGCCAAGTCAGATGGCCACAACGATGGCCACGACTGAACCACCCCACCCCACACAGCAGAAGTTCACTCTGAGGAGGTCTTCATCGCCTTCAGGCCTCTAAACTCGTCACTGAGGCCCGAGCGGGGCTGTGCAGTACTTGGACCTGGCGCTCTTCCTCCTGGGGCCCGAGGCCGGTCGACCGAGCTGGATCGAACGAAGATCGAGCGGCTGAGCGGCTGAGCTTTCAGATGTTGGGCAAGGAGGAACGACACCGAGACTGCTACTCTGCTACTCTTTTTTTGACTATCGAGCTATCCGAGGTCTGCGACTGCTAGCTAAGCTTTGCTACTCTGCTGCTTTGCTACTCTGCTGCTGTTGATTCTGCCATTCCTCACATCCCTCCTCTCGTCCACCTTTCGCCAGGAGGAGGTGCAGGAGGAGGTGCAGGAGGTGGAGGAGGTGCCGGAGCAGAAGGACAAAGGGCACTCCGAAGAGAAGAAGGCCAGGGCCAGTCAAGGGCCTGGCACCTACCTCGACACGGAGTGGCACGGGCTGCACTCCCTGAGCTTGAGCATGCTTGAGCTCGGACTCCCCGGTATAGTAGAGATGTGTAGCATGTGTAGCGGCAGTGTAGCGGAAGTCGATGAACCTCCAGTGGTTGCTGATAGTGATGGTGGGTCTCCTCAGAAAAATAATGCTGTTATATATACACACACACACTATACACAGGTTTATCAACCACCACTAAGTAGTTTTGTTTTGTTTTTGTTCTCTCTCTCTCTCTCTCTCTCTCCTCCCTCAGTGATAAAGTGATAAACTTTAAACAAGTACGTAGAAGTTGGAACAGCCATCACAAAAAGATATAGATGTTGTCTGGTCTTTTGACCGTTGGCCCTCCGTTGCCGTTGGACCAGTTGTGACCCGCCGCGCTTCGCCCCGCAGGACCTGCCGACGAGCTCGGGCGGCTGGCAGCGGGTCCCAGAGACGACGACCCAGCTGGGCGGGGTGTGGTGAGCTGGGTGCCTCCAAGCTCCAAACAAACGGATCTATAAATGGATCCCTACAGGTCAATGACCTCATGAAATACTGGAGTTGGTCATGCAAAAGCACTATTCAAGCAAGCAAACGACCCGGTTTTACTGGGCCAGACTGGACTTGTAGGGGATCTGATCTAAACATTCTCATAGAGCACGGCACGGAAGTCCCACCCCAAACGAAAAGGGGGGTTGGGAGCGGCTCGAGATGCTTCAGCTCGCGGCTCGAGCCGCTCATGAAGTTTTTGCCGACCTTTCGGTATTGGAGTAGCGATGTTGGTGAGCTGTGAGGTGAGAGTGGCTGCTGTTTTGGGGGAGTGGCTGCTGCTCTCGCTGACAGGGTGGCCACCTGGCGGACCAGCCTTGACGCTCCCGATCCCGCCGGCGAACGGCTCAGTTGCCCCACGGCGGACGGTTTCTTCGGGTGAGTCGGGCGCGTCGGACGCTCTCAGGGAGGATGTGGGGTGCGTCAGACAGGAGGTTTCAGCATCAGAATTGTCAGCTGTGCCGGAAGAGCACTGAGATTGCCTTGTCGTGTTGGGCGTTGTCCTTAGGGCCGCGTGCTGACGAGTATGAAGTGACCTTGGATCAGACGAATGGAAGCAGGCGAGGGAGATGCATTCACGCATACAGGCCACAAGGCGGACTTAGGAGGTGGTAGGCCGTAGGGCATGCGACTACAGAACCCCGACACAGCTGGAACGCCCCTCCCTCCTCCTCCCTCGTCCTCCTGAAAGAGGGGGTCACTATTAAGGATTTCTAAGGTTTGGCCAACTTGATCCTCCCTCCTCCTCCTCCTCCCTCCTCCTCCAAGATGTCGCCCACTCATTCCCCTTGCTTCATTATAGAGCATTGATAAGATATCTTGGCACGACACCGCCCCTTTGCCGATCGATGGCGCAGCGTTGAAGGATGGGAATCGATTGGCTGGCCGGCGGCAAGATGCTCATCGTCCAAGGCGACTCGGTCCAGCATTCTTTCGTGGCTAGGAGTCCTGGCGCCTCCCTCACCAAAACCATCCTAGCTTCGGTTGACAATCCGGTCTGGCCTGGAGGAAGTCTCTTCATGTTCATCCGGGGTGGTTTGGCCCAGGCGGGCGCCCGGGTGCCATGATCCAACAGCCAGAGTGTGTTTGTGGTTGCTTGTGTTCCCCCGACCCCAGCTGAGCTTAAGCTGAGATCTGGCTTTGTCCAGAAGCCACATTTCAAATGAGTATATAGAGGGGCACCCTGGCGGATTTGTGTCATCTTTGGACCTCCCAACTGTGTGACCTCCCAACTTGCTTCTGTGTGTCTAAAACCAGCATCCCCGGGCGTAAAAGCAGGGTCCAACACCAGTGTTTGTGAAGAAAACGAGCCAAGGTATCGATAGCGGTGGCCTGGTTGAGGACACGTTTGCCATCGGCCAGGAAAGGGTAAAGTAATGCCTGTTCCAAATTCCAGTAGGAAGACGGTGTGGTTGCCAGTGAGCGTGGCGCGTGCATCTAAAGATTCTTGGAGCTTCTTTCCTTTGAGGTGAGTTTGCACACCCCCAAGACGTGCTTGGGTTATCTTGGGTTGAGAATCTGTAGCTTTTCTCCCTGTGCTAGTTTCGTCGTCCAATTCTGGGTCTCTCGTGCCCACCTTCCCGGAGGCCGTACTCGCGCGATCGACCACCCCGGTTTCGCCCTGCGTCCTCGCGAGCGAGTGAAGAGGTGCGGGCGAAGCGGGGCGAAGCGGCGAAGCGGGGCATGGCAGGAGTGGAATGAGATGATGCCTGAGCTAGAGGTGAAGGAGAATCATCTCATCGTGGAGGCTCGGGAAGCTGAACGATGGCTGTGTTTTTGGCTCGCTCGCTGAGTCGCTGTCTCCTCTCGCCTCTGCGGGTGTTCTCATCTCGCTTTGTAGGAAGACCGAGCATGTTGGTTTTCTCATGGTTAGGTCCGTGGTGAAGTGAAATCGGCCCAAAGGGAATTGCCTGGGAGTGACTCTCCAAAAAGTCGATTCCAATTCGAATTGCCTCAGTTTGGATGAACCTTTCTGCAGATCATCCCTGCTCCATGTGTCTGTAGCCTCTGCCAAACACAGCGACTCGGCAGCGACTCGGCAGCGACAATGGCCCCCACTGGCCCCGAGGCAAACGGAGTCCGTGGCAGTGCCCAGATGATCGAGGAGTGCATGAAGGATCAGGTGCGGTGCCGGCCCGATCAACGGCCAGACGAACGGATCCAGGTGATCGGGCTGTGGACGAATGCAGCGACCGACGGACGCACCAACACCGCCACGGACTCTTGGACCCATGGACCATGCCGCCACTCCATGCGGCACTGCTTTGTGCTTGAGAAGTGGGGACTGAGATGCGACATAGACCTGTTACTCTGAAACAATTCATGAGAGGACGCGGCTGCACATGAAACACATTCATATCGTAGTCTGATAGAATTCCCTCCATCAAGCCTGGATACAAGCCATTCGCCGCCGTTCTGGCCCCTTAAGCAACTCCGAGCTTCTTCGCTCCAGGAGTTGCATCTCAGAGTTCTCAGGGTCGCCTGTCTTGAGCCTGTGGTGTGCCACAGCACGAAGAGTACAGCTTTCCCTCCCACGACCTTCCGGTGTCGTAGCCTCCCCGTTTCTTGAACTTGCTTGATGTCTTGACACCGGGAAAGCCCCACGTACTTGAGGATCAAAAAGGTCGCTAGATGGCAATTGAATTGAAGAACCCTGAAATGGTATTTCACATTTGGTGTGTGCCCCTCCCGCTGTGCTTTGTTTGCCGTGCGCTCGTGCACCCAAGGTGGACGATGTCGCTTGGCAGGTTGGTTGGGGTCCGTTCCAGGTGAGGGAAAAATCACCAGTAGGGATGCCAGCCTCAGCCGGCCGGAGTTAATCTGTGAAGATAGTCAATAATCAAAGTCAGAAGCAAATTCAACCGCCTCAGTTGAATCCTGCCAAAAGATCAGTGGAAGTACAAAGGTGCACAGTGGAAGATCCAAAATCGGTGAGTGGCCTCACTGGTCTTGACCAGATTGTGTTATGTGCCTCTAGAATCAGAAGGAGCCTCCCATAACAACTCTGAGCAAGCGGAATGACGCGATCCACTCTGTTCTGCCTTGTGCATTTCGATTTGCCTTGCAAAAAAAGGAGGGGAGGTTTAGAGAGAGTTAGATAGAGATAGAGATGGAGATGGAGAGATAGAGAGAGAGAGAGAGATAGAGATAGAGATAGTCAGCGTGAGAGAGAGAGGAAAGCACGGGAAAAAAGACACCGTTTTTGACTATCTAAGGACGACCCCTGGAGCAACAAGGACTACGTCTTGGCGCAGGTCGCTCGGAACGTCTCCTTCCTCGAACAAGCCTCCGTGGAGCTCCGAGACGATCCCGGGTTGTTTTAAACTGATCAGGTGATTTCTTCTTTTTGAAATTCTTCCCGAAGTGGATATAAATCCCATTAAATCCCCTTCCGGAAAAAACACACTCAATTTTGTTTGTCAGGTTTCTGGGAGGCCGCGCCGTCCTAAGGATCCCGACGTGATCCTGGCCGCGGTGCTCCGAGATCCCTTCGACGCCCTGCGCTTCGCCTCGGAGAGGCTGCGGACCGAGGCGGGCTACGTGGAGGAGCTGGTGCGACGAAGCAAGGCCGCTTGGCTCGTGCAGTTGCCTGGCCTGGAACACTTCCGCGCGGATTTGGACTTTGTCGAGCGATGTGAAAAGGTGGCGGGGACAGGGCTGGTGTTTACCTACTATGAGAGTTCTACCTGCTTCCTGAGCATGCGAAAGGCCTTTAAAGCCACGGGGGCATCGGTCCCGGGTGGCATTGCATACGATGCTGTGATGGCGAAGCTGGAGGAGGAAGGTGAAGGAGGCAGGGCAACGGACCGACACGCAAGCGTTCTGAAAGCGATCCTTTGGCTTTCTCCGGTCAACTCCTTCGGAACATCCGCCAGGTGCACTGCTTATTTGTGGGGTTGACCTACTACGACGATTAAAAAAACAAGTGTTTCATGTTTCCTCTTTTTCCAACATTTCCATAACGCTTGCCCCTGTCTCAAAACTTCAGTGTCACTGTGGTATTTGTACAAATTACGCACCTACAATCACACTGAAAGGAACACCCAAAAACTTATAGTTTCATTTTGGTATTCACCTGGATTTGCATGACCTGCAATCACGGCATGCAGGCTCTGCTACCGTGTGGTTTGGAGATGAGCCCGTCTTCGGCGTCAACGCCGACGATGGGAAGTGGAGACATCCGCCGGACGACTGCGGTCGTGACCAAAAGGAGGTGCCGGCCGAGGCTGAGCGCACAGGCATGTGGAACTGCAAGGTGGAGGGTCGCAAAGGTGATGCGATGCCCATCGCTGGGCGCAAGTACAACTGTCACTCGGCCCCAGGGTTAGGAACACTTTGTAAAAAGGGTCTCTTCTTTTGGCGGTGGTTCTGACACTTCTTTTCTTGGGCATCTCTTCCTTGAATCCTAACGCAATTGGGTGCTTGTGCCTTGGTTGTAGCGCTTGCTGATGAGATGTTGGCCGTTTGTCCACACAAGGCTGGTGCTGTCACTGGTTACGCAAGGTTCGCGAGGCACACGAGAAAGGTGCAGTGATTTGCTGCGCTATCTCGAACATCTACAACGCAGACGCTCGGTTGTGGTTGTGTAAGCCTGCTGTTCTAGTGGGCGCGGCCAATGGGAGTGTGTTTTGACCGACCTTAGGCGTTTGCTTAGGCCCTTTACAGTAGCACAGTGGCACCTTCGGTTTATGAAGGATTTGCTATCATTATACTAGCATGATGTTCGAAAGTTTCATTCAGTGTCTTCAATCGGGACTCGCGTCTCAATCTCCCAGCTCTGTTCATTGTTCACGTCATTCCGCTCAGTGTTTCAAAGATGTGTAGCAGACCATGGGCCTCTGAACTATATTTTTTCCACATCAAAACTCTGTGCTTCACTGAGGGCATGGGTCACTATAGCATGTGTGTTTCCATGGACCATGGGTCACCTCGCATCTGCATCTGCCTTCAGACGTCCTTCACCGTCCCAGGACTGGGTGCAACGTCATGGCGCTGGGTCCTCGGAGCTCAGTGATGAACAGGCGGCCAAGTTCAAGCAAACCATACCGAAGCTTGACCGGCCTTGTATGTTGGGCGGTGGTTTCTAATATACTCTTAATAACCCCCCCCAGGCCTGAAGAGGATTGTCCATTCAAATGGGGGGGTGTATGGTCCTCAAGAGTCTACATTCTATATGTTTGTATATGTTTGGATATTTATGTTTGTATAGGTTATGCCCAGACAAATGCGGGTTCGTATAGATGTCTTTCTATTATTACAACTTTTGCTGCGCCCGGTATCTATAGTTATAGGCGTCCCGGCAGGTTCCCATCTTTGAGACGCCCCTATGTTCGCCGATGTTTTTCGATTTCGACCTTTTCTCAGCGGCTGTCTCCGGAAGTCTTGGCACTTCCTTTCTTGCACTGCCTCTTTTTGGCACGCTTTCCAATGGTTGAACTTTATCCAATTGCGGGCCACCACTGAAGAATTCGCCCAGGGAAGTCTTCAAGAACGGAAAGCCTGATGGATGGGGCAAGGGCCGGATCCACGTGAGCAGCGGCCATGACTACGCACGTGAAGCTCCGATCCACCCACGCACTGAGTTGCCCTTGGGGGAAGGATGTCGTTGGGAGCGGTGGGCCTTGGATGGGCAGAACTTTGCGGTTTTCGCATTCTTTATGCCCTGAAGCTCCGGTGGCAGGCACTGGTGCCAGGCCATTGTTGGTTATGCTGTCTTTAGCGAAGAGGTGGCACATAGTGTCGGAGCATGTGCAAAGTACTCATGCCAAGTTGTGTATCCTCGTGCTGCAGCTAGAGAAAACAATCGGAAGGGCTGCTCCGCTGAGTAACACATCACCCAAGGTTGATGACAGTTGAATTGACGTATCGATTTGATATGCACTCTCAAAATTGTTTAAATATGTGTGTTATATGTAACATACATACATTTTGATTAATTGTTTATTAACCGCGTTTATTGTTTATTTACTTATATAAATATATATATATATATATGTACTGCATATATATCACATACAACAAGAAGAGCTCCAGTTTCTACAGTGTTTCTGCTTGCTGGATACTGCCCGTGTTGCTCCATTGTCGCATGGCCCAACATCATCGAAGAACATCTAGTGCCCTGCTGTGTTGGGAGGCCTGAGTAGGGGAAGAGGTTGGCGGTTTCTTCCCCTCAGATGAGGTTGCCAGGCATGCGAACTCATGTGAGGTGAAAGAGTGAGGTGTCCTGGGCCAACACGGCGACGTCTGGACCGCTGTGACCGTCACCTATCCGCGCAGCCACTGATTCGGCACCCAACGATCCGCGGCGATGTGTGGGCTTTGTGTGTTCATGCTCAGCCATCATGCATACTTAAACTATGGGGACTGCCAGGCCATCATACACAGCAGCCTGGTGGTGCTGTGTAGTCGTAGTGTGGTGCTGCTGGTGAGGTCTGCTTCACCAGACCCGCCATGTTTTCCAGACCCACCGCTGACTTGCTGCGCAACAACGCGTAGAAGGGGCAGGCCTTGCTAAGGGGTTTTGCATATATAGTAAGAGTATGTTTCAGGCAGCCGTGCTGGGCCTCGAATTTCAGCTCGACACCATTAATCTCCAAAACAGTGCTAGCTTCCGAGCGCGTGATCTTCACGATTTGCAGGTGGAATGCTTGCACTGCCGCCGCCGCTGCAATCTTATGGGGTCAGAGTAGAAGAGTTGTGGGTTGGATGGAGCACTTGGTCAAGCAGGCTAGTGAGTCGCTAGTGGTATAATTCTTGTTTGGGGCCTCAGTGAGTGCACTGGATGAAGTACAGAGAAAGTCTATTTCAATGAAAGCAGACGACTTACACACCCTGATAGAATCATGGAAGTGGACAGAGCCACCTGTTTCTAGAGGAAGATGGTCATCCCAGGGTCCCAGGGACCAATGTTCCGCTTCCATGATTCTCTCTCAGGGAGTGCATCACAAACCTTGTGGCTCATCCCCAAAGGTACCCTAAATACTGGTGTTCCAATGAGGCCTTAGGGAGCAGAAAGGCTAGGCATTCTTCGACAGTCTGGGAGGGCCTGAAAGCTACCACACGACTACTGTACTACGAGAGGACCACACGAGAGTCCGCATGGAGTTTGCGTGGCATCGGTCAATGTGGCCTGATCCTCTTTGATGAGTGATGCAGCTGTCGGCGTCTCAGCTTGTAAGTTGGCAGTGCGACAAGTCGGTTTGCGAAGCGGCGACAGCTCCTGGATAGTGGTATAGTTGGATTGTTTTCAATGTCATTTTGGATAGAATTGTTATTTTTGTCGCACAGCAGCTTGATGTGGCATCTTCTTGTTGCAGATGTATAGATGTGGAGTGCCTGCCAGGCTACCTTTGAAGTTGGAGACGTAGCGTGGTTTGGTCAGGCCGGTCGATCTCCTAACCGGGCATGTGCAGTTGATGTGCAAGGGGTGCTGCGTAGGTGTGAGCCCTGCGTTGCTTGTGCACGATGGCCCGATCGGACCATGCGACCGGATGCACCGGGTGGTATGCTGCTTGCAGACCGCTCCATCTACTCAGCTTGGGAAAGATGGAACGCGGTGACTGACATATCGTAGCGCAGAACCAATTGAGCTGTGGGAGGTGTATATATACTGTATATATATATATATATGGGCAGCGCTTCGTATAGTGCAAAATGTGCAAACAAAGGAAACGACTTTCTATATTATATACTGTCTGTCTCCGACACTCATGGAGAATGGTGCGTTCTTTTAGGCAAGGGACACCAGTCCACTGACTGGAACGCTGGCATTCCGCTAAGACTGCGCTTCGCCTCAGAAGCACTGCTGAAAGACGGGGCGCACGGGCCGTAGCAGTTCCCCCCTTCGTCGTAAAAACGCTGGTGGCAGGACGCATTGCATCGCGTTGAAGTTGAAGCAATGGTGAATGGTGCCAGGTGCCAGGAATTTCTTGAAAGACCCAAGCCCAGCTCAGGAAAACCCGATGAACGTGGCAGGTTCTAAGCCACGTGAAGGCCACGTCCGCGGACGAAGACATATATAACCATGCAGCAAGCCACACCCATTGATCCACCAATGCCAGCTGACTGCATGATCAGACGCAGCGCAGTCCAATCACTTGAGCTCCGTCGACGTTTCAGTCCTTCAAGTCTTTCAGCGTTGACGTCCTTGGGCTTTCGCTGAACGCGTGCGATTTCAGGCGAAAGCGTCTCATTGCTGTATATTGAACTCCACCTAGGTTCAGTACTCGAACCGTATTGGCACCCTTGCTAGTGTAGTGAAGCATCTAGTTGCAACATCCGCTGTGGGATTGCCCTGACACTCCTGTGCAGTTGCGGGGCATCGTGCGGTATGTCGGCAAGACCCAGTTTGCGGAGGGAGTATGGTTCGGGATCGAGCTGGATGAGAAGGCGGCTAGAAGTTACTTGCGCACTTGCACAGGGTACCCATCAGCGCGTGAAGCCAGGAAGGGAAAAATGACGGCACCGTAAAAGGTGTCAAGTATTTTGACAGCAAAGATGGGTGCCGACCTTAACTGTTCACCTTTGGTTCCTCGCTTTTTACTTGCTCGCGCGCTAGCCGAGGCATGGGATTTTCGTGAGGCAGAACATGTTGGCCAAAGAAGCTACGACCCCAGCATGTGCGTCAGTGTAAGTTGACCTGCTTCAGCCAAGCTCAAACACTAGTTACTAGGTTCCAGTTCTTGCCATTGACCTGTTTTGTATTCTTTCCACGCTAATGTTCATGGCTGACAGTTTCACAGCTGCGGAGTTCGGATCTGGGAACTTGGAAGCTACGACTGTTCCGCCAATCAACGTGCCTTTTGAGTCTAATTCGTTTGACTTTTTGACCGCTCGATATTGAAGAGCTTGGCAGATCCAAACCCAAGCAAGTAGGCAAAATCAGCAAAGCTGCCGCCAGAAAAGCATCTACTGTGGTGGTCTTCGCGGAAAAGCCCACATGTAACCGAATCATCGGCAGGGGGCGAATTGTTCCCAAACTTGTTCCCTAGATGATTCGCCCCCTAGAGTCACTAGACTCTAGTTTGGTTGATTTAACTGTGTCACTAGAGTCACTAAGATTCACCACACTTGTTCCTGCGATTTGTCATGACCTAAAGCAGCCATGAGTCAACCGTCCGCACAGACCCAACACTTCACCTCGCGGTGAAAAACGGACCTCCTTGTAAAAGCCGACCTCAGAAGGTCATCCTGTTGACTTTCGATTGGCCCATCCCTGAGGCCGCATCGAAGCCTCAGAAGGGGAAGCTGAAGCCAGATGCCCATGAGTCACCCCCGCCCCGTTTGGCCCTAGCAGGTCCAGGGCATGTGCCGGACCCTTGGCAGCTGCGGGGCCGCGTGGGGGAAACCTAAGGACCTCGGGCATCAAACGTGCAGCCACTGTCGTCAGCGCCTCAGATGTCCCAATCCAATTTCGAGATGAATTTGCTAGAGTAGTGGCAGACATGCTAACATGATAGCCGCACATGCAAGTGAAGAACAAGAGCTTGCTCTTATGTTGGAGGGCGCCGCAGCCCTGGCTTCTGCGGAAAAGGACTGGTCTGGGCTCATGTTATTCTTTCACGTACGTGGGGCACACGCGCTTCATTGATTGATGAGATTCGCATTTTGTCGTTCCTTCTCTAACTTCTCTTCATTTTGTAGTGCGCAGATTGCATCCTTGTTCTATCGCTTCTCCACTTTAGCGATTTAGGGTTGGAGCACGTAGATCGTGGCAAAAGACCCGTGACACATGAGGACGATCTCCAATGGCACCAACTCAACGACCAGAACCTTGTGTGTAAAGTTTTGAATCCAGACTTTTGCTTGCGAAGGGCAGGTGACTGAAGAAACAACATCCAGCCATACAAAGTTGTAGAATCACGAGGAGTGACAAGAATCGGAATTGTCACGCTCCAGCTGCCAGCTATTCCTCAAGTGGTGTGATGTCAAGATGAGATCCCTTCAGCGCTGACACTGCGTGGTAGTGCTACAATGCTCATAGCACGAAGGCTAGGGATGGTGTATTGGTATTGTAGGGTGACTGCCTGTTGACTGGCGCATTGCGAGGGCCACAAGTTGGGTGGCACTCGTAGTACGGAAAGAAGTATTGTTTCGGCGTGGGAGTCGCTTTATTGGTCATGACAGACACGATATAATTTACGCGGACGAAGGCAGGGCTGACTTGACCCCCTATTGAATACGCTGTGCCACCCTGTATGCCATTTCGCTAGAGTCGATGGAGAAACAGTCTAAAGCGGTGAAAGAGCAACAACTAACGGCTCAGCAGAAGTGTGATTTGTTTGAACTAAACATTGATTCAGTGACAGGAGGAGCCGCCCTCTGCATCTACAAAGGCACTGGGCTTCTGCTGTCAGCAGTTCTTTGCTTTCCTAAGAGTTGTGGTCGAAAGACAGCATCTGCTCTGACAAGGCTGAGCCCAGCACAGAGGTTCAGGAGCTTCGTTGCTTAGAAAGCACGAGAGTTGTTTTGAATGAACCTGTGAGCATCATGCTATGGGCTTGGTGCCTGATCGACATGTCCCCAAGCCTTTCTGTCATGGCTTGAGATCCAAGGAACAACGGGAACGAAGGGGTCACCTGCGTTGGAGGAGATGAAGGCAAAAAACATGTTTCTCTTTAGTTTCTCTTATATATATATATAAATATAGTGGGATGGATTCGACTGTGCAGGCAGAAAAAGTGGAAACCATGGAGCCACTGGAGAGCATGTCGCCTGCTCGGAGTTCCCAAGCAGCGACTCTAGACTTGTTGCGTATTACATAATATTACTATTGCCTTTTCCATTGCACCGGCAGTTTTGCAGAGGCAGGCACAGATGGAATCAGGCATACCTGGCGTCGAAGGCACCCATGAAGGTGTTTATTGTGTGTGTGAGGTAATGTGAACGTAGCCTGGCTGTCATCCATTTGTGTTGTCAGGTGGCCGCGAGAAACGTCCACAAGTAGAAGAAGTGGGGGAGGACAGGAAACACAAGCCCGCGACTTTGCGCCATGCAGTAGATAGACCATGATAGACCGATCAGATTTGCCAGCCAATCATGTAACTGGCTTTGTCCTACTTTCTGATGCACAACTGGGCTGGTGATATCTCTTGCTTCCAACTCTCGTGGTGTGGGCGTCCTGAAACAAGAGAGTTACTGTAAATGACATTGCAAAACCATCGAGCCACATCAAACTGACACTTATATATACATGTGGAAAACCATCGAGTCAGGAAAACCATCCGTTCCATTGCAACACTGGATGTCATTCGAACGGTGACTTTTCCGACTGTTTCGAAGCGTCACAGACGCCGCCAGACGCCAGGCCACCTTCGAAGTTGGAGATGTCGCGTGGATCGGACAGGCCTTCGGATCGGCTTTTTTGGAGAAGAGATGTAACGTGTGACATTAGACTGCTGCTCATGTGGCTTCAACCGCCTGAAACGCTATATAGAGAGTTTGTGTTTTTTTCCTCTGGCGGCGGTGTGCTTCATTCGCAAGAAGTATATACCCACGATCTTTTTTCCCCTTGTGCTTCTTGCATTCTCACGCGTCGTGCGTTGACCCTAGACCGGTGGTCAACCAGGGTGACCCTGACCGCCTTGCGGGCTCGACAATTCTCACAAGTTCTGCGCGCGCTCTCTCTCTCTCTCTATCCTGCCCATTTAAGACATCCATTGCGTGCTGGCTTGGATGCAGCCAGCCTAAGCCTGCTGTATGCCAACACCAACGGCCACCAACAACATTTCCAGCAGACTCGGACAAGTTATTTCTGTAGATACTGTATATGATATGTATATATTTGCTCAATCGCTTGTTCTCCGAATATGCTGACAAGTCCAATACGGCTGCTGCCGGCATGCCACAAAATAGGACTGCTTGTGCGAGCGACGATGCAGGTTTTACAGTTTCGGGCTAGAAATCTTCCTATTTGTATCTATTTGTCACTGGGCTGGGATATGGCCTCAACTCCACCTATGTTTGCTCCTCCGCCATCGGCATGCACGCCACGCCGGATAATCACTAAGTTGCAAAACGAAACAGGGCAGCCAGACGCCGCATTCACGTCAGATTGTTACTTGCAACTCGTGACTGCGCCGTGCGTGAGTGGCCATGCTCCGTATTGTTATTTATTGTTGCTTGGTGTCATGCATGCGCCCATCTAGATCAAAAGAGAATGTGTCTCAACTTGCTCTTTCCCCCTTTGGGATTGCCTTGAAAATCCTGTGCAGTTGCGGGGCATGGTGCGGTATGTCGGCAAGACCCAGTTTGCGGAGGGAGTATGGTTCGGGATCGAGCTGGATGAGAAGGCGGCTAGAAGTTACTTGCGCACTTGCACAGGGTACCCATCAGCGCGTGAAGCCAGGAAGGGAAAAATGACGGCACCGTAAAAGGTGTCAAGTATTTTGACAGCAAAGATGGGTGCCGACCTTAACTGTTCACCTTTGGTTCCTTTCGCTTTTTACTTGCTCGCGCGCTAGCCGAGGCATGGGATTTTCGTGAGGCAGAACATGTTGGCCAAAGAAGCTACGACCCCAGCATGTGCGTTGACCTGCTTGAGCCAAGCTGTATGGAAACAACACGTAGACTTATCATCGGTATGGGGTCACCGTGGGGTGCTGAATCTTGTCACCGTGGATTTGTGCGCCATACCAGACTTTTTGTGCCGACCGTTTTTTGGTGTCTTTTCCCTTCCTGGCAACAGGTTTAGCTGCGACAGGGTCTCGTGCATGTGAGTTGGGACCGGCGGAAAGGATTGCGCGAAGGACATCGGTTTTGACTAAAAGTTTTGACACCTTGTTTGAGGCCGCATCAAAGCCTCAGAAGGGGAAGCTGAAGCCAGATGCCCGGGAAAGCCTTCCCGTTCCAGCAGTGCACCCTTCTTGAAGCTGCACAGCTGCATTTGGAATTGAAGCCTGAGGATGTCAGGAACAAAACGCGCAGCCACTGCTGTGAGCATCTCAGATTTCCCAATTGAATTTCAATTTATATAACATGGCTCAAACCACATTGACCACCAGTCCAGCTTGCTCGAAAGTGTTGCAAGGATGCTGCAATTCTGGCCCCTTTGCCAAAGGACTGGTTTGGGAATTTTGTGGCGAATTCTTGCCCCTTTCATGTCTAAGCTCTAAGGTGCAGTCATAGCCACATAGCTTTCTTTCACATACACGCACCTGATTGCTTCATTCAATCTGCAATTACGGTCATTCTTTGCATCGTGCCATGCTTCTTGATGCTCACTCTCGATGCAAGTTTAGGCTTTATTCGCATCGAGGAAGATGTTCAATAGCAACCAATTGTCTGAAGTGCCAATCAGCAGCTTGTCACCTGCGTTTAACATATTCACCTGGACTTGCTGGCTGACCGTGCTGCGCTTAACACAAAGCGCGTACGTGCAAAGATCGAACACGTCATAACAAATCACTGAACAATTGCACATGGAGAGGCAGGAATTACTACTGTAGCCTTTGTGATGTCAAGATTCAAGATGGCGTTCCTTCAGCAGCAACACTGACGCCAACCTTCAACAGGCCTATGAACCCAGGCTGCTTGACGATACTCGCACCTACTGGCATGGTATGGTGACAGTCCGGCGAGCGACTGGCGCAGTGTGAGGCCACATAGTGACGCATCGCACTCGTCGTACGCAACAAATCAATCGTATTGGTACGGTGTGGAGTTGTAGACGTGGCGAGCTTATTTTCTGTGGCGACGGGCATTGAAAACGTGGATTCAATGACAGCAGGAGCCGCCCTCTGCGTCTACCAAGGCACTGGGCTTCTGCCTCCGCTGTCAGCAGTTCTTTGCTTTCCTAAGAGTTGTGGTTGAAAGACAGCATCTGCTCTGACAAGGCTGAGCCTAGCACAGAGGTTCAGGAGCTTCGTTGCTTAGAAAGCACGAGAGTTGTTCACGAAAGCTAGCATGCTAGCTGAGTTCTTCTTTGCTTTAGCAATGTTGTGGTGGGAGGGGCTGCGTGCCTTAAAGATTGATATATCAAGCTAACCCCCCCCCCCGCGGTTCAACTCCCAGCTGCGCCGTGTAGGGGGTTGGTTGTGCTGGTGCATAAATTCGAGAAGTGTACCATGCTTGAAGGTTGTAG